TCGTCGGATAAAACGACAAGTGTCAAGAAGAACAAGTGAATTTCAAAAAAAGAAATCGAAGTCATCAAAATTTATCGAGCATGTCAGGAAAACACATTAAAAATAAAAAAGAACGTTAAAACAAGTTAAAATCACGTTTCATACAGAAAACCAGGAAAACTCGATTTTATATCGATCGATCTTGAATTTTTTCTGCTGATTTAATTTGTAAATTGTCAATTATTTCTGTAAAGCAAGAAATCAGTGAGCCTAATTCAACGCAAAATTAAAGAACACCGAGTTCAAAAACAAAATTTCTGAGAAAAAAGCGAATAAACTGTCATTGGAGCGACATAAAACGTTGTTTTAAGCAAAAACAGCGGGTAAAACCTAGAAAATTACCAACTACAGTGAGATCTTGATTGAAAAATTAAGTATGGCAAGTTCGGTTTCCAAGATGTTATTGCCGGAGGCATTCACCGGTTCTAACGACTTGAAGGCTACTTAACACACTTTGAGCTATTAGCCGAACTGCAAAGCTGGAAACTTACTGTAAGTGGAACCGAAACTGAAGAACGACCGCATTATTTCGCGTTAAGATTGCAAAAATCGGCAATCGGTTTTTACCATACTTTCCCAGACGCAACCAGAAATAGCTATGATGAGACCATTAAAGCTTTTCGAAGAGATTAAAAGTGAACACCACAGTGAAAACCCGGTGGTGTTCCGTGGACGGCTAGCGCGTCGTGTGCAGCAGGCAGGAGAAAAATTAACAGATTTCCTGGGGGATTTACAGCAATTGGCACTGAAGGCGTACCCAGGCGAGTCCGAGGGCATTCGGGATCAATTGGTGCATCGAGTTAGACTTGAGCTCCGCAAGACAATATGGGACAAGGACATGAACATACGAATTCTTTAGAGCTGGCACTTCACCTGGAAACTGTAATTAGAATTAAGGAAGAAAATAAACGCCACGAAAAGCAGCCATACGGAGTGATGAAACAGAAATCCTAATAGATCCGTCAACAGACTATTCCGGAAGATGTCGGCTGGTAATGAAAATAATGCCCGGAGCAGTGACGGTCGAAGCGACAGCAGCCACAGGGGAGGAACACGTCGCGATGGAAATCGATATAGGGAACAAGGTCCAAGAGACCGAGCAAGTACTCCCACCCCAGGACCAAATACGCGCGAAAGAAATGACAATCCCAGAAGGGAAAACAACTATGACAAATGTAGACTTTGTGGGCAAGAGGTCCATTGGGCAAAGAACTTGTGGAAGTTCTACCCACATTAAACGAAAGCGCCCTTGGAATAAAAGGACGGAGCAAACCAACGATGTGGAGTTGTTATTGAACGGGAAATTAGTAACAGGACTGTTAGAGAGTGGGAGTAGCATTTCGCTCATAAGTGTCGACACGTATGAACGGCTTGGATAGCCAGAAGCATAAAGGCTTTTAATAATAAAGTATTAGCAACTGACAATTCGGCGTTGAAAACAGTTGGCAGTGTTGACATCAATATCAAAATGAAACAAAAATCCGGAGTAAGTCCAAGAATTTTTAATAACGGAGGATAACTGCTTACTCTGCCTTCTTGGTTTGGACTTCATGATAGATCAAGTATGTATTCTAAATATTGGTGAACAATTTCTATACAGTGCGAGACATTGGATAGCGCTTACTATATCCGCACAAACAACCACCGGTGTCCGAACCTTTGCAATAGCAGAGAGGAAAGAAAGAATCCCCAGCAGACATGAAAAACTAGTAGAAATCTTAATCAAGGATGAAAACTGAACTTTCTTCAGTAGCACAGAAGGTTTAATTGAAGGAATACATATTTTACCGCAATTTTACTCTGACGCTGTGCAATAAAGTCTGTCCCAATGCTTTTGAATTAGGTAATGGGTTCTGGGTATCAGATGCGAAACAACTGAAATTGATCCGCATGCCAAAAAGAATTAGAGAAATCGGCTAACAATATGCAACTTTGAGCTTCTTTTATATCAGTGGTGAATGTCTTTACAAGTTACTAGGTTGTCACAACTTATGAAACATAGTCGGAAGACAGAAACAGGGAGGGAGATCTCCCTGGTACAAAACGGGGATTATCCTCATGATCATTTGAACCATTTGAAACACCTGGTTATATTTTCCATGGTTTGCAAAAATGGAAACAGAGATGCTCCGTTATTGGGGAATAGCTAGAGAGGTCGCAATCGGTACATAAACAATTTATCTTCTATAAAGTTTAGGGTTGATTTTGCATATTTTTGTCTCGGCAGCGCCTTTAATAAAGGACGGAGCCAATAAGGAAATGGTATTCAAGTCGTTAAAACCTTTGTGGGAGTACAATTACTACAGTCAGTTGACGAGAAAGTCCAGAAGTAGATACAGATACAAATCAGAAAAGCAATGTTTGGTAAGGGAAACAAACGTGCAATGCACGGGGCAACAGGATAATGTTTTTATAAACGAAGAAGTAAGTCACATAAGCATGGCATGTTTGGACGAATACGACAAAAGCATGTTTGAGTGCAACCAAAACAAAACACAGTGCTATTTGTGTGACTATGATTAAAAGAAACGAAAACACAGTGTTACCTGTTGGATTAGGATAAAAAAAATAAAAACACAGCGTAGACGGTGGGATTAAGCAAAAATATATCTCTATATGATTTTAGGAAACCGACAGAACCAGATTTTGGGGATTTTGTTTAATTTCTGCCGGAACTGTTTGAAGTTAAGGCGGTGGTACGGCCTAGTGTATTCAGGATAGTAGGCGTCAATACTAAATATAGAACTGTGGCGCCACTCTAGCAACTTCAACTACCAAATATTGTAAATGGGGCACCAGTTTCAAGATCCAAGATGTGAATGCCTCCGGCAATTACATCTTGGATACCGAACTTGCCGTTTATATACTTAACCCCCACCCTACTTAAGTAATTATCAAGTTATCCCTGTAGTTGGAGTTTTTCTAGAGCTGACTCGCTATGGGATTAAAATTGTGGAAATAAGAAAAAATATATGGTATTTAGGAAACCGACAGGAGCAAGAATTCGGGTATTTTGTTAACTTTCTACCGGATCTGTTTGAAGTTGAGACGGTGGTGCGGCCTTATGTATTCAGGATAGTAGGCGTGAATACTAAATATAGAACTGTGGCGCCACTCGAGCAACTTCAACCACCAAATATTGTGAATCAGGCGCCATTTTCTTGCGAGGAGGTGATCAACCTCAATGGTGAGATAAGAGAAGCGGAGAGGTATTCAGAAAACAGCGAAAGCAGGGGGTGACAAGCCTGCAACTCAGGAAGCAACTGAGACTCTCCAATTGAGGTTAAGAAGTATAAGAAAATCTCTGAAAGTCAGAGGGAGAGGAAGAAGCTTCAAGCTAGCTTGAAGGCAGAAACTTTTGGAAAATGTTTACTCAGGAAGAGACTGTGTCTACATGACGCACACAAGCTTTTTTGCCACTCCGAGCCGCTCTGATATTTTAATATTGCCTAAAAAAGCGCCACCTGGAACATTGGATAGGCATTTTAAGAGCCTTTGCCTTCTTTGCCATCCAGACAAAGGCGGGAGAGAAGAATATTTAAAGGTGCTTGTTGGAGCCCGAAAAATTCTCAAAGATCCAGAGGCGAGAGAAGTCTACAAAAAAACGGCCCAGATGCCGCAAAAGATTTGTTGCGCCATAAATGGTCAATTAAACTGGGAGTTTGTCCTTCTGACAAAGTTTTTGATGTAATCAATAGATATAATCCCTTATAGCTCGCTAATAGAGGTAAAATTATATCATGGTTAACCAACTAGTTAGCAAAAAAATCCACCATCCTTGTTCCGTCGTCAGTGGAGCACTCCAATTTCAAGGAGGGGAACATTGTAGAGAAACGGCTATTAAATTGTAAAGATCATTACTTGATTAGTTTGGCAAAGGTCATTGCTAATTTATGATGTCTGAGAAATGTCAACGCCTTCTATAACTTCGACAAACATGCAATTGCCCTGACAGGCGGGAGAAAACTTCACTTTACATAGTGTCAGATAAAGCTGGCAAAACGTGCGAAAAGCCGTAATCTGGGTAAAATCATTAATTACTCGGATTAAGGATAGAAACGGGGCAACCCGGGAACATCATAAAAAATGTACATTCAGAGCAATCAGTTGGTTTATAAATCCTTGATTGATGAACCCTTCTATAATAAATTCCTGTAATTATCACATAAGTCTGCGAGACCAACTTTGATTATAAATATTGAAGCAGTTAAAGCATTTTCAATTCAACTTCTACTGAATCCTTGTTTCTTTCTGAGAAAGAACGTGTTGGGCTAATCCTACTCTGTGTTTTTTCTGGGCAATGGGCCGTACTCCGGCATCTTTTTTTCGCAGGACTGAGAAGCGACGCCCCATGATCTTTTTATCAAACCACGCGAAAAAAATTGACATTTAGTTGAAAATTTTTTTCAAGTATATGGTCGGAACGTTCTGTGCTACTAGCACAACAACCGGCTATCCTTGTTCTTGATTTGCACTTGGCGTTTTCGATTTGATAAAAACGATCTAAGTTTTTTCAGAAGATTTTTACGGACTCCAGAATCATTTAATTAGTTTAAGATTAGCTGAATATCGACCCTATCGAAGGCTTTGCGTAATCAGTATAAACCTTTTCTACAGGTTTTCCATTGTTGATTGCGTCATAAATGGTTTGAAGATAGAGAACGATTAGGAATATCATTGATTTACTTTTTGCAAATCCATATTGATATTTCGTGATAAGGCAGACAACTTTCAAACCCGATTGACTGAAAAAAAGTATCAAGTGGTGTTTTGATTAACATTCAGAAAAAAAAGATGTAAGAATTATCTGGGGTTCATTATGGTAGTGGTTGTTGTTGTTGGCAAAATCGTCGTATGTTTAGAAATTAAAAATTATGTCTGCTTACTGGCATGACATGTCTTCTTTCCAGTTTGTCTATTTATTTCTACAATCTGCTATATCCATACAGGGTCTCCTTGTATGGCTGTGACAAAATTGCATTTCAGATGAACCAGTTTGATGCTTCGGGTGTCTCAAGGAATTTATATGCGGCCAACGTAAGTGGTTCGTCTCGAACTCCGGAAGTCGAGGCACTTCCATACAGAGTCTCTAATGTCAGAGCAACCACCAATGCTATTATTACTCCTCAAGCGACGAAAAGTGTAGCTAATGCATACATGAAAGTCATGGATGAAGTATGCAATACAGTTAGAGACACATTTCTTGACGAGGGAGTTGAAATTTCAGTTCTACAGGAGCTCAGGAGGCTATGGGAAAACAAAGTTTACCAATCCAAAGTACTTGAATCGCGATTTGACTCAAGAGCGCATGGATCATATCATATGCCAGTACAGCATTCGACATACAATACTATGCCTCAAGTCTACCAGATTTCAAGTGGAGGACCAACAAATGCTCTACCTGTCAGGGTATCACAGAACCCCAATGCACCGCGTAAGGAATGTAAAATGAGCACTTAAGTTGCATTTTGAAATTAGTTCAAGACAACAAGTATATGTCATATGAATCTGTTCCATGAATCTGTTCCATGAAAGCTTACCATAGGTTGTCGCAGTGTAATTATCATTATTTAAAAATAAAAAAATAATTCTCAACGTTTATTTTTGTTTTTCTAAAAGTGAAAATGTTATCCGAAGATATGCTTTAATAAATAATGTTCCATATTTTAACTGATCTTTTGAAAAATGAATTTTCAATGTGTTTTACCTTATATCTTCCACTAAAGAATAGCTTATTGTTCTTGGTCTCACTTCATTTTCATTGTATTCATATTTAAGATTTTCATCAGCTGGTAGCGTGTTATTCTTAATTTTCCCAAATTGACAAAATATTTTCAATCCAGAAACATAGAAAATGGTTTTAAAAAATTATACTTCAGTTTCAGGTCGGACATGAATCGAATTTTGCACAATCGCAGCTTCTTTTTTCCCCGAGTAATCTGAGTTCAGTAATGAATATTGTAGCTAAATGGTCTGTTTAAATTGGAGGAGTGCATTTCATTTATCGGTTAGATTGGTCTTTTAAACTATAATCAGTTCCGTGCGAATGCAACAACTGTAGAGACCTGAAGAAACTTACACTTATAACTGAAAACTAAACTTTGAACAATGCAATGACTGGGTGTTATGCGAACCCTTGGATTATATTCCTAAATCCTTTGATATTATTATTATATTATTATTATGTAGTCTATTAGAGTTCTTGAAGGTTTTGATGTTTTTGTTGGTCACCTCGAGGTTGTACGGGATTAAAAGTGAGGTTGAATTTCTATTAATTAGCTCATGTATAGTAACAGAAGTCATTTTTTCTGGTGAAAGTTATCCGACGTTTTCTAACCCTTTTGCTAGCTGCTGGCACGTAGTTTTTTTAGTTGATGGTAATTTCGGTAAGCGATCGTTCTTTCGCCCTGATAAGTAAAACTAAAGAAATTTAAGAGTGGGATGAATATAATCTATCGTATATGTTAAATGAAAGTCGGAATGCACTATGGACGCTATGTTTAAATGAACACATTTTTTTTAGTATTCTCAAGTGCAATACTTCAGAAAAAATTTTCGTAGCTTAACGATTAAAAGAATGTTCAAGAATTCAAAGTTCCATCGCTTCAAAAGCTTGCTTGAAAATATTATTTTTCCGAAGCAATCCAATCTATGAAAAATACTTCGAAATATTTTGAAGTGCATCATCGATTCAATAGCTCGCTGAAATAACTCTAACTTTTTGCTGAGCAATCCAAGCCATGAAAACAACTTCGAAATATTTCAAAAGTTCCATTTATTTAATAGCATGCTTAGAAAAAATTCTGCTTTCCGCAACCAAATTCGCTCTTTGAAATAACTGAAATATTAAAGCCTATTCTACCAAATATTTTGAATCGTCATCGCTTTGATAGCTTGCTCAGGAAAAAAAATGAATTTTTTGCTAACCGACTCGTTCTATGAATTAACTTGAACTTTTTTGCGAAGGAATCCAAGGAATGAAAACAATTTCGAAATTTAAAAATTTTGTAGCCTGCTTAGAAAAACTTCTATTTTTCATGAGCCGATTCACTCTATGAAATAGATGACAAAGTCGCAAAATCGAAGGATCATCGCTTTGATAGCTTGATCAGAGAATATTTTTTGCGAAGCAATCAAGCTATGGAAACAACTTCGAAATTGTCAATTATTTTCTTGCTTAAGAAAAATTCTAATTTTTGCGAGCCGGTTCGTTCTACGAAGTAACTTGAATTTTTTCAAAGTTTCATTACTTCAATAGCTTTCTGCAAAAGTCAGAATAGTTTGACTTTTTTGCGTAGCAACTCCAGCTATGAAAACAGCTTGGAAATATTTTAAATTCATGGCTTGATCCCCTTGCAAAATAAAACTCAAACTTTTCGCCAGCCACTTTTTTTGAATAATTGAACTTTTTTGAAACTTCATATCTTTGCAAACCGTTTCGTTTTGTTAAGTTTTTGAAATTTTTAGCGCTTCAATTCTTTTCTTGAAAAAGTTTTGTTTTTTAGCGAAGCAACCAAAGCTATGAAAACAGCTTCGAATTGTTTCAACTTTTCATTGCTTTAAAAGCTTGCTTAAAAACTTCTTCCATTCGCGGACCCGTTCGTTTCATGAAAAACGGATTTTTTAAAAGGATTTATTGCTTGAACGCCATGCGTAGAAAAACTTGAACTTTTTGCAAACCGTTTCATTGTATGAAATAACCTGAAAGTTTTCTTACTTTATTATTTTTCTTGAACAACGTCAAATTTTTTTTTATTGAAACATCCAATCTATGAAAACTACCTTTGAAATATGTCACAAATTTTATAGCTTTAATAGCTTGCTCGAGTATTTTAATTTTTGCGAAGCAATCTAAACTATGAAAATAACTGCGTGATGTTTAATTTTTTCAATGCTTGCCTGGTAAAATTTCTTTTTCGCGGCGATTTGATTTGATCTATGAATTAACTTAATTTTTTCCCTTGCTTGAACACCTTGCTGAGAAAATTGAATTTTGTCGCGAGCTGATTTGCTATTTGGAATCTCTTCACAAATGTCAAATTTTCATAGCTTGCATGAAGTTTTAACCAATTGATTTACTCTACAAAAAAGCTTGAAATATTTCTATGTTTTTTCGTTATAATAGTTTGCTTACAAAATTTAATCTCTTTCCTAACCGATTCATTCTTCGAAACCTTTAATGTATTACGAAGTGTCATTGCTTCAATAAAGATCTAGTTATATCGCGAACCGATTCGCCTCATAAATTGACCTAAATTTTTTTCTAAACTATCATCACTTGAACAGCTTGCCCTTAAAAACTAAGTTTTTCCCTAGCTGATTCGCTCTATGAAATTTTATCAAAGATTGCAAATATTCATGACTTAATTATTTTGCATAGAAAACCCTAAACTTTGCCCGAACTAATTTGCTCATTGAAATAACGCTAATTATTTCAAAGTGCAATCGCTTAGTTGGTTTGCCTACAGGACTAAAATTTTTCGAGTTCTTTCGACGAAAAAATTAACTTTTATAGGCAAACCAATCAAGAGATTGCACTTGGAAGTATTTAGTGTCAATGTTTTATTGCTTCAGTAGCTGACTTAGAAAAACTCGTTTTTTGCTGCCCTCTATAATTCATTCGAAATACTTCATCGCTTAATATGTTGGCATGGAAAGACGTAAACATTTAATGGACTGCTTCGCTGTCTGATGTAACTTTGAATAGTTGAAAAATTTATCGCTTCATTACCTTCCTGAGAAAAAGCTAGTTTTTGCTAACCAATTTGCTCTATGAAAAGACCTGACATATTTGCTCTATGAAAAGACCTGTCTTTAAACTTCCAAGTTTCATCGCATGCGTTAATCCACTGAATGGTTTGCTCAGAAAAAATGTAAGAATTAGTTCAAGCTGAAATACTTTGAAGTAGTTCAGAGTTAGCTTGACTGAATAGCCCGCCTCGATCAACTTTGGAATGAATTTTCGATAAAATTTGCTAACTGATTTACAATATGGAATAACTCAAATTATTCAAGTTTCATTGCTTGAATAGCTTGCTGCTTGCTCAAAACAAACAACTTTCTGCGAGTCGGTTGGTTGATGGAGACGGGCTTGCTAGTTAATTTTATTTGGGTAGATTATTTAGTTATACATTTTTTTGGCTCCTTATTGCTTGCAATCGGAACATTTTTTATGCTTTTTTGCCTTTGATTTGATGTTTTAAGTGACTAATTATGAAAAATCAAAACCTAGGCGCTTTTGATGACAACTTATTGATTGCTTTCATTAGTAAGTAGATTTTTTGTCGCAGGTACTCAAACTGTGCCGACGGGCTTCAGAATAATCAGACCTGTGCAGCCAAACCAACAAGCTACTCAGTATTCAACCCAGACGCCTTTTACAGGTAAGACTATATCTACCTGCTTTGTAAGATAAAAACCAAAAAGCCAGCAACTGGTTTATCAGATGAAATAAAAGAATCTGAAGCACAAAATTTTATCAATGGTTGGTGGGGTGGGGTGGGGGGATTTTGTTTTCCTTGATATTATTGGGTGACACTTAACTTGCAAAAAAGCAGTTTTTCAATTCTTCTCTGTTGAAAAAGAGGACTTAGTTTCAATTTCATCTAAAGCTTTGCCAGTAGTTTGTCAAAGCATTTTTTGTGAATATGGCGTTTTATGTGAATATTCTCCAAAAAATAGTTTTTAGCGGCTAATTTTTATTACTTATTACAGAAGAATTATCAGTTCGATAATAGTGGCTTTTAAAATTCAAAGTCAGAGTAATTTAACCTTATGATTTTTTGTTTCTCCTTTGGGGCTCATGTATTTCAGAAAAGTTGGAAATATAAAACTATCTTGGACTTTTTTCGTTGATTGAAAATCTTTTCAGGTGGAAGCAATTTCGCACCTCAAGTGGATGGTGCGAGGCCATACATTGGTGCTCAGTCTTCTTTTGATCCATCACAATACATAACGCAGTCCATACCAAAAACATCAGCATCAGATAGTGAACCCACTGCAAGCAATCTAGTTCATAAGCATCCTAGATTACTGCAGTTGGACGGAGGCAAAGGTCAACAGGCGCAGTCTAGTGATGACGACAGTGAAGATGAATTTGAAGAGACAGAACCGAAAGCCAAAACGCCGCGAGTGGTTCCCACGGACCCAACCGTAAGCGTTCCATTTCTTTTGAAGTTCAGCTCTGTTCCATTCTTAAAAGGAAGGCAAAATCCACTATCGAACAGCAGAAGTGTAAAAGTCACACAAAAAAACGTGGTGGACTTTTAGTTTCGAACGCGGCTTTTAATGTTCAGATTTCCCAGTACCTATTGATCCAGGTTTCTCAAATTGGGCTAATTATATCAAAAAAGCATTTGTCAACAAGCTTTAGGGACAAACATCTGATTTTGCTTGTGTTGTAATAAATTTTCCTAGTAGTTGCAAGTAACAGTGTTTTTCATTCTAATTTCAAGGGTGGACTTGAAAGATTCTAAAAAAAAAGATTCTTTTTTTTTCGGTTCAGTTGGTGTCTGCTCAAAGATTGTCGGCCTCGTTTCCGCTTCGTTAGTTTTGTTCAGTTGCTAATTTGAATTTCTAATGTCTTGCTTGGCATTTTTGCCTAGAGTTCCTGTTTGATAAAAATAGCTATTATGAAAGTCTATGGGATTTGGTTTTTTAATTATTTTTTTGAGACGCTTTGGAAAATTTTATTTCTTTTGCAACAAAAAAATATATATTTTTTCCAAAAACCTTTCGTCCGATTTTCAAGAAAGGGTTATCCATAGAAGGACCGCCTTATTTCTTGTGTGTGTGCATTCTACCCTGGTCTCTTCTTGCTTTACTTCTTTGTCTACAGCCTTTGTCTAAACTAATGGCCCTCGGAATAGTCAATTTTTTGACCGTTTTTTCAATCTTTATTAACTGTTCTCGAAAACGAACCTCCCAATTCTGAGGTTGTGGATTCAATGGAGATAACGGGTAGTGGGAAGCTCTCCTTTATTAGCAACTACGTCCAAACTTTTACACAAAAAAAAAATTGGCCATCGGAGTAGTCAAATTTTTGATTTTTTTGTATCTTTTTTTTTAGTTTTTCAGAAATTAACCTCCCAAACCTGAAGGTGTTATTTCAATGGAGATAACGGGTAGTAGGAATCTCTCTTGTATTAGCGGCCACTCACAATATTTTTAGGCAAAAATATTTCGTCTTCAGAAAAGTCAATTGTTGATTTTTTGGGAATTTTTTATCTTACATTTATGAATCTTACCAAAAAGTACCCTCTAAAAATTGGGTTGCTGGAAGCTCCTGTGCATACGCGCCTACGCCCAACTTTTTTACGCAAAAATATACGCGCCTACTTTTTTACGCAAAAACATTTACTTTTTTACGCTAATTTTTACTTTTTTACGCAAAAACATACGCGCCTACGCCCAACTTTTTTTACGCAAAAATTTATGGCCCTCGGAAAAGTCAGATTTTTGATTTTTTAGCCGTTTTTAAACATTTTGACTTTTTTCGAAAACTACCCTGCCAAACCTAGATTTCTGGATTCAATCACATGTTAGATGATTTTTTTTCTTAATTGGCTAGGCCCACTTTTTCAACAAAACCTTTGATTCTCGGAAATGTCAATTTTCTGATTTGTTGACCGTTTTTTTGGAATTTTCTCGATAGCCATCCTGCTAAATCTGATATCAATGGTTTAATCGACAGAACAGGTTGTTGGAAGCTTACTTTTATAATTTCTATGCCCAGTTTTGAAAGTTTCCCATTTTAGGGGCTCTTCATTCTTCTACGGCAACGACCCGCTTTCATCAGAAAAACGCTACGGAATTCGGAAAATCAAATTTTTGAACTTTCGACCGTTTTTTTAGAAGTTTTTTGAATTTTCTTAAAATATGCCCTATCAAATCTGTGCGATTTTTTGTGCAGAATCGGCTATTTCGTAATATTTTGTTAGAAAGGTTATGTCTTTGGGAAATTTTGAAATTGCTCATTCGTCCCGCATTAGTATAACAAATTCAAAAAATATCAAACACGAACCACCAGCTTTAGCTAGGCCCTAGCTGTCCTTCATCGAGATATGCGAAAGTTTTGGCTCATCTAGTTTTTTCAACATTTTTCATTTTTTTCTTGTGCTGCATCGCATGTGATGGGATGCTCGGCTTCGCCTCTGTGTTGATTAAAACTAAATTGATTGATTGCTGCACCGATTTACTTTTTAAATTTGCCGCGCCGAATATTTTTAGGGGCCATGATTTTTATAATTTTTTTACGTGAAAATTGTTCACTTAATGCGATACAGGAACAGAAATCAAAAGGTGGGAAGAAATCTGGGTCGGACTCGAGGATCAAAGAGGAGCCGAGTGATTGCGAAGATGATTCGGATGATGACTCGGAAGAAGATGCCAAGGGAGGGGGAATCAAGGGCGACTTGGATGATGAGGATGAAGAAGTGGAGGAGGAAGAGCCGCTCAACTCCGGGGATGACGTCACAGATGACGAGGTGAGTGAAAATGAGCATCGATATATTAAACAGGTTTTTTGACCGAATTTGACATACTTTTACTGGGCTCTCGAAACAATTGACAGACCATAAATTGATTACTTTCCAGTTTTGCCCTAGCAGTCAAGCGATAGATTTTCAAAGTTTTTTCAGCCGAGAAAAACCGGCCCGGAATTTTTGATCTAAAATGGATTCATGTGAAGCTAAATTGTCAAGAAATTTTGTTTCATTTATTTGAAACCTTTTTTCTGGCTACTTTTTTACCCTCCAAACGTGCAAACATAAATTTGGAAAAAATCGAAAAACAAAGGTTTGTGATATTTTTTGTGAATTTATTGGTGGTACGATTTATCTTTTCTAGTTGCATGGCAACCTGCTATTGATTTAAGTTTAACGGATTTGAATTTTTTTACTTACTTGGTCTAAATTGACTTCAAACTCAAATTTGATATGCTTTCTTGGAGATTCTTTACGCAACTAGTTATTTGTAATCAGGTGCCGGAGTTTTTTCTCATCAACAACTTTCCTTTCAAATCGCTAAAAAATTTGTTTTGCTTATTATTGATACTAAACAAATACCAAAATCCTTCTCACTTAGTCTAGTGGTAATGCAGGAACCGTTGCATCTTACAGTGAAATTCGAATCGCGACAGGAATTTTATTTCATAAGTATAAAATTGATTTGGTTTCTGGGAAAATTGAATTGTCGGACTTTCATTCAAGAGTAATGAACGCAGTGAAGACTTATATAGGTCTTGCTGATATTTTTTTAATTTTCACGATAAAGCCTTAAAATTTGTTCACGCTCAATTTTAGTTTTTCGCGGTTTGACTTGCAATTTTTTTAAGTTCAATTCATTTATATTGTTCAAAGGAAGGCAAACTCCACTATCGAGCAGCAAAATTATTAAGGTCACGAAAAACGTTATCGACTTCTAATTTCGAAAATGAAAACTAATTATAAGATTTCCAAGCGAAATAAAAGTTTTTTTTTAAATTGGGGTAATTTTAACAAATAATTGTCCATCATAAAAATTTCTACAAATTCAAAGAGCTTTAAGGCCATCTAATTTTTTAGTCGAAATTCGAAAATTGAAGATTTTAGAAAAAAACAAGTAGTTTTTTTTTCAGTTTCCTTGCGTTCATTACTCTTTTCCTACTGTCAGTTGGCTGTTTTTCTTTAAAAACTCAAGGGGTGTACTGTGCATTTAGGGCAGTGGTAACACCCATGCTTGAGACGGCAAGTCCCAGAAGTTCGATTTAAGTCGGAACCTGTTTTTTTTGTCGAAACTGATTTTCGAATATTTTCAACACTTCGTGTCTGCTATTTTTGTCGGCTTATATCGCGCAGAAAGGCTTGGTGTTTTTTAAGCATTTTGAAAGCTCTTTGTAAAGTTTTTAATGGTGCAGGAAATATTGTTTTTTGCATGGTGCCGGAGTTTTTTCTCAACAACTTTCCTTTCAAATCGCTAAAAAGTTGGGTTTGCTTACTATTGATACTAAACAAATACCAAAATCCTTCTCACTTAGTCTAGTGGTTATGCAGGAACCGTTGCATCTTACAGTGAAATTCGAATCGCGACAGGACTTTTATTTCATTAGTATAAAATTGATTTGGTTTCTGGGAAAATTGAATTGTCAGACTTTCATTCAAGAGTAATGAACGCAGTGAAGACTTATATAGGTCTTGCTGATATTTTTTAATTTTCACGATAAAGCCTTAAAATTTGTTCACGCTCAATTTTAGTTTTTCGCGGTTTGACTTGCAATTTTTTTAAGTTCAATTCATTTATATTGTTCAAAGGAAGGCAAACTCCACTATCGAGCAGCAAAATTATTAAGGTCACGAAAAACGTTATCGACTTCTAATTTCGAAAATGAAAACTAATTATCAGATTTCCAAGCGAAATAAAAGTTTTTTTTTAAATTGGGTTAATTTTAACAAATAATTGTCCATCATAAAAATTGCTACAAATTCAAAGAGCTTTAAGGCCATCTAATTTTTAGTCGAAATTCGAAAATTGAAGATTTTAGAAAAAAACAAGTAGTTTTTTTTTCAGTTTCCTTGCGTTCATTACTCTTTTCCTACTGTCAGTTGGCTGTTTTTCTTTAAAAACTCAAGGGGTGTACTGTGCATTTAGGGCAGTGGTAACACCCATGCTTGAGACAGCAAGTCCCAGAAGTTCGATTTCAGTCGGGACCTGTTTTTTTGTTGTCGAAACTGATTATCGAATATTTTCAACACTTTCGTGTCTGCTACTTATTGTCGGCTTATATTGCGCAGAAAGGCTTGGTGTTTTTTAAGCATTTTGAAAGCTCTTTGTAAAGTTTTGAATGGTGCAGGAAATATTGTTTTTTTTTTTTCCAATTTTTGATATGTCTTTTCATTTGCTGGTAATCATAGTCATACAGATTTGTATCGCATGTGATGCGAAGCTCCGCTTCACCTCTCTGCTTACTTTTTTTCGATCGCTTAATTTCGAGTTTTGTGTCGGCTTATTAACCTTTTTTGCATAGTTGAAAGAGAAACATTTGATTTTGAATGGTGATGGATTCTAAATGCTCCAAGTTTTAATGTCTAATCACCCGAAAGGAATTTTAGGGGAACAATTTTTTGACGTTTTTTGTTTTCGGCTCAACTGGGGTCTGCCCAAGTGTAGTCGGCTTCATAACCGCTCGGTAAAACAAAGCTTGGTTGGAGGTGTTGCTCGATTGTGTTTGCGAAATGAATTTTTCTAAGAGTCGATGAACGTAGTTCAGACTCTTATATAGGTCGTGATGGTTCTTTTCCTTTTTTTCAGGAAAAAAAATAAATTTAGTAAGGCTCAGATTTATTTTTTCGCGGTTTGACTTTAATTTCTTATCATATTCAGTCCATTTCCTTTTTTTTAACAGGAAATCAAACTCCACTATCGAGCTGTGAAAGTTTAAAGGTCACAAAAATTGACTTCCAAAGTCGACAACGGAATTTAATTATCAGATTTTTGAGCGAAATAAAAATTTTATCTATTTGTTCAGTTTTGCAAATTAGGTTATTTTTATCAAAAAAAAGTGTCTATCATAAAATGTTCTTGAGATTTTTTCAAAAAACAAGCCCGTTTTTTCTGTTTTCTTGCGTTCCTTGACTCTTTTCCAACTGTCTCTTGGCTATGTTCTTCTTTCTTTAATTAACAAATTATTCTTGTAAATGTATGCTTTTGATGTAATGCAAGTCTTGCGAAACTCCGCTTTCCCTCTGTGTGCTAAAATTCGATTAAGAACCGACCATTTTTCGTTGTCTATCTTGACCCTGGTTTTCTCTACGTATCGATGTTTCAGACTTGACGAGCATGTATTTCTTTTAGACCAACATAGGCAGTGTGAGTAGTCAGTCGGCAGAGGGGGGCTCTGGCTTAGTAGCGGGGGGCACCCACTCAACTCGCACTGCATTCGGATGTGACGATGTGGTAGTCTGTCAGTACGAGAAGGTGCGCCGACAGAAGAACAGGTGGCATTTAGTACTCAAGGTCAGAATAGTCGGTTTTGTTGCTCTATTTAATGTTCATGTAAAGTCATATAACTTCAGGAAAAATCTTAATGATTTTCTCAAGTTGTTTTCTGGAATTCATCAGATTAAACAGCTCTCATTAGTAGCTCGGGTTCAAAAAAATATTTCATATGTCGAAACAAGTAATTGGAACTTCTTAACGTTAATTGAGAGCAAATAAATGGATAAAATTGACTCAGCCTCGCTTCGTCGCTTATTTCGATTATGTCCATTTATCTTTTTTCATCATTTATGAGTTGTTGAATAATTTGATTGCACTTTTGAACATATACTTTTTTCAGGCTCACAACTTGTCTGGTCATACAGAATCACTGAATCATTTAATGACTCGATATATAATAAATTCAAAGTCTGATTCTGCACTTTGCCCTGAAGGTAACGTCTTCAGCTGGCACTACAAAGGTGTACAGAATAGGAAAGACAATTTTTCGGCCTTCAAAAAAATCGTCTGCATCTTGACGGCCTATGTGATATAACTAAATGTCTACTTATTTGCAAATTCTTTCGTATTCTTTTTATTGGTGCAAGTAATTGATTTTCAATTAATTTTGCTGCATTTTTGAAAAAAAATTGGATGATACGGCTCTCGAGGTTTTTTGACGATTTATTTAGACAAATTTAGATTTAGATTTTATACAAATTTTGAATTTATAATTTTTCTTTTTGCTCCAGTCGCCAGAAAGATAGAATAGAGCTGTCTGCTGGCTATATCTAAGTTTAATGAACGAGGGTTGTTTTTAAGAGTCAATGAACGCAGTGAAGAGTTTTATATAGGTGCTGCTGATGATTTTTGTTAAGTTTTTTTAGGAATAGGCTTCAAATTTGTTCAAACTCAAATTTAATTTTTCGCGGTTTGAATAATAATTGATTTTAAAGTTCAGTTCATTTCCCTTGTTAAAGGGAAGGCAAAGTCCACTATCGAACAGCAAAAGTGTAAAGCTCACGAAAAACGTGATCGATTTCTTATTTCGAAAATAGAATTTAATTATCAGTATTCCCAGCGAAAGAAAAAATGTTTTTTCTTTAAAGTTCGAAACATGAAGTTTTTCAAAAAAAACTAGTCATTTTTTCCTTTCCTTGTATTAATTACTCGCTTCCAACTGTCACTTGGCTATGTTATAACTGTCTGATGGCTCTGTTTAGTTTAAAATTAGGCATGTTGTTATAGGATGGCATAATGAATGTGCAAGGACGCGATGTTCTATTCCACCGAGCTGAAGTTGATTGCGAATGGTGATCGAAAACCATATCTATCCTGATGGTATCTGAATCTCACCCACCATGCATTGGAGTAGAATTTTCATCATTTGCTTTCGTAGCTCCCAGATAACCTATGCATCTTCGCTGACTCTGTCCTGCAAAACTCCTGCAAGCTTGAAAAAATATATATTTTATGGCTGATTATGATGTACCCATCCTGGATCCGGATATGGAAGTTGGCGCTTCGCTTCTTTGATGATTTTTTTGCGTGTTTGATTATCATTGAATTCAATTATGAGAGCTTAATGAGAGCTTAATTTAAATTTTGTTCTTTTGAAACTTAATTGTAAGTTAATGATTGTATTAAATTTATCTTCAGTTTATTTTCCGTTTTTATCTATATTGGGATCAGATTAAAAAATCATGGCAGGTAGAGATTTATGTATTCTGATGTTTTTCAATCCCTTTCAGAAGTGTTGAAAAGCAATAAATTTTGGTGTGTCTATGATTAAAAGGATTACTGTCGATATCACTTTGGCCGGACTTCCAAAACATAGATCGCAGATGAAATGCTCTCGAATTTTATCCGTAAAGCGTAAGTTAAGCGCTTTTGAAACGGTTCATTTATTTCTAGCACGAAAACAAACAAATTAAAAAAAACACCATAGCACTTCATTTCACTTCACTTTTTGGTTACAAACTAAAGGAATATATGGAAATTAGTCCTAATTTTCTGAAAGTTAATTCATCTTTCTGTGACTGTGGACATATATGGTACACTTGGTTTGAAAATTGTTAGCTTCATGTACTGATCATTCGATTTTCTTGTGCATTTTTCTCCGCTCTGTGGGGGTATCCCAACTAAAAGTTTAATTCAGAGTTGCAAACAAGCTAGTTAAATGTTCACAAAAAAAGAAAATTCACTCTTGTCTCGGTTGGTTATCAGATTTGATATGGTTTTCTGCAGTTGTATATTGACTGACTGTTCTCTTATATCTTAAGGTGTAATTTGGCATAACCGGAACTCCATCATAATTAGCAGATGTCACATAAATTGCCAGCAAAATTCGACACTTGACGATCGTTGGTACTCTGATGCGATTTTTGTCTCAGCGATAAAAACATTTTCTTTACATTTTAATATGTTTATGAGCAGACTAGACTCATAGAGTTATAGTACTTCTTACCGTCGGCGCTTGTCAGTTATCGGAATTTGGTGAGTGTATTTTTTACTTGATACAGCGAGTCGAGCGTGCAGATATATTAGGTTCAAATTATAGCCCACGCGCAAGTGTACTAGTTTTGCATCATAAAAGCAGCTGTAGTTTTGGGTTTATTGCGAAGTTCGGTCTCAATTAAAAACTGCTTAACATGAATTTTCAGGTGCAATGACTTTAATTTTAATCAGAAGTCTATCTTTTGAAGATATTTGTTGTTTGGGTCAAATGATTTAAAGTCACGTCTACAATTTGTCAAGATCGGGGCATTTTTTGGGGTCTTTCCCATTTTCGGTCCTCGCCTAAATTGTCCCTAAGTGCACAATTGAGAAAACTTCATTTCACAACAATCATCCACAATGAACAACGGAAGTTCCGACACGCACCATTCTGTTCACGATCCCTCATCTCATCAGTTCACGCCCACCGAGCTTCACATCTCAACCGGGGAGAGTAATGGCACATCAGGGATAGCAGGGGGAGGGGATAACCCGACTGCTGCTGGGTTTGACACGGGGCCTTCTTTCAGTGAGGCGAGGAAGGCATTCCTCAGTCGAGCCAACAACCCAACTCAGGGAGCTGCCGCTACTTCGCCCAACGCAGGTTAGTCGTCAGTGCACCAGCGGATTTAGGGGATTTGACCCCCTGCCGACCCAAAGGGTCCCCCTTTGTTACTATTTTGAGAAATACTAATTTTGAGCCAAAATATACTAATTTTGAGGTGGAGTGCGCACCGAAAAAACGATTTTTTACCAAAGTTTTCAAAAAGGCCTTGAAACGCCTAAAATTCTGTAAAAATGGGGTCTTTATAGTGATTTGGGAGAGCTCAGGAAATCAATTTGGTCGGCCTAAAAAGAGTCGACAAAATTTTCGAAAATCCGCCCCCCTCGAGAAAATCCTAGATCCGCCCCTGCGTCAGTGATAGCTTTATCTTTAGCTAGGTCATATGGAAGCTATTTCTTTACCCTAGTGAGTAAATTTTGCCTAATGAGGTTTCGAACCCAGTATCATAATTTTGCTTTTGAGATTATTAAACGACTTTACTGTTTTAGATTCAGGAAGTGCCGGCGGTATCCAATACAGAAAACAACCCTCTGGACAGAATAGCAATAGAAACAGTGCAATCTATGACAACAAAGTCACAATGCCAGCTCCCTCCTCAAACGCACCTCACTCGAACAGTCCCAGGAATTCGCTATATGAACAAATGGGAAAAGGGGCGGGACACTCGTCGGCCTTTGAACCAGTCGGAAAAGTTTGTATCTCGGTGTAACAGTAGCGCTATTTCCGTTTCAATGTAACTTATGACATGAAGATTTTGATATCTAATGTATGCAAAGAAGCGGTTATTAGCTGGCAACGCTGTTTATTAGCTGGCAACAAAGAGCCAATTTTTGTATTGGCCTTTTATCGCAAACGTCAGTAGTTTTTTTTCCGGAAAGTTTTCTTGAATTTTTGTTTTAAAAATTAATGAAGCAATCAGCTTTCGCTAACAGCTTTCTATTAGCTATCTGTTGAGTTTTCCTTTAATTTTGAATGTTTCTGTCCGTCAATACTACGCCTATATATGACGAATCGCTGCCCACACGTTTTTTTGCAACTCAATTTATGTATCCCTGGATTTTTATGTTTGTATCTGTTCACTTGATAGAATGTAATTTCACCGGCTAATTGTATTTTCAGTTATTGCATGATTGATAATTCTGAATGGGCGCAATTATCAAATGCCTGAATTTTTGAATTGTGCAGCAGAAAATTGACCTTTGGCCTTCACTCAAATCACCTATGCATTTCTTCGGCGGCACCTGAAAATCATTGTTATTTGTTATTTCACGCACCAAAGTTTCGGTATTAACCTTAAATTTGATCATTTTATAAATAATTGTGGCGCATTTTCAATTTTGGCTGCAAAAAGTATACTTAATGTTATTGCTTTTATAAATACGTCAACAGGTTTGAAACTGTGTCGATAAACCAGGAGAAGAAACAATTCAAGTATTTTCTCAACAAACCATCTGTTGACCGCATTGTCCAAGGCACAAAGACGTAACGAAGACAGAAGAAACGACATTTATGAAGGTTTCTGAAATGAAAATTTAAGTCGTGTCCGCTTGAAATTGCTTTGTACATGTGAATGACTATGCGTAATTGTGCAGTGCATGGTTTGATTGAAACTTACCTCTTTGAGTCGAGGTATTGGAGCAATCAGTCTTGACTAACCCTTTGATTGATCCTTAATCGGCTTGCATGCTTGGTCCTGTTTGATACTTATCATTTATTACATATCTTGACTCAATTCGCCAAATGGCTAAACATTTGTGATCATCGGCTTAAGCAAATCGATTTATTGCAAATTGCTGAATAGTCGAATTTTCAATAATATTACAGTTTCAAAATGACTGAACTGAAATAATAGGCATCCAGTTTTTGCAACAATAATTTATTCATTATTTATTTCGACAGTTTTGGGGGGTAACGTTAACGATTTGAACATTTTGAAATGACTTCATATCGTCTTAATTCGACATCCAATCAGAATCGAGAAGACGAAGACAGTCGCAGTAGTTTGTTCCGAAGACGAAACTATTACGATAGAGCGGACTGTTCGAAAGAAAGCAGCGAAGAGTTCTCAAACTACAATGTAGGCGACAGTTTCAACAAGTCTTCTTCGTCTAATGATCGGGTTGGGAGATATATGAGTAATGGTAGTAGTGTTAGTAGTGGAGGCGGGGGAGGGGATCGAAATGGGTACATTGGGAAAAGTGGGGACAGAAATACAGGTGTGAGGGATGTCGAGTTCTCAATGTTGTCTTCTAGACTCCGAGGGAAGGTTAGCTTCCGGTTGTTTTCTCGAGCTTCAATGAAATTTTTGAATAGCATTTTATCCAGCATTTGAAGATTTTTTTCATTCTTTTTTATGAGAACAGTAAGAAATAAGGTAAACGTTTATCGTCAAGTATTTTGCATGCAATTAAAACCAAATTGCAGCTTTAAACATTACTATTCGAATCGCACCTAAGCGGCATGCTTTTGAGTAACTCCACAGGAAAACGCTTGAATAGCACAAAATCATCAAACATTTGTTAATGCTTAATCTCTGCTTTAAAGCGAATATTGAGATGCTTTAAATACTGTCCTTGTGAATTTCCCTTTACGTGTTGCAACTAACCCTATTTTCGTTTATTTTCAAAAAAATGAAACTAAGCTAAAAATTGTTAATACGCTTTTTTGTAGCTGAAAACATCGGAAAGTAATGACCTCAAGATGTCTTCAAGTGTGAAAGGATACTCGAACGGGGACTCCGGATTCACAGAAAACAACAACAGTCTCTACTCCTCAGGTCAGTGATGATGATCGACCATTATATCATATTTACACAAGCAAACTCTTGTGTAATGGTGCGAGTTCATTTTTCGAATCGCACATTTTGTATCCATTTTATATATAAGCAAAGCGTAGTGTTTAATTACGAAGAATTTTTTCTAATCTAAGTCGCAAATGAAAGTGCTCATTTGGTGGCACTGTATTTCAATTTAATCATATTTAAGCTTACTTGAGCATAAAAAATTTAATGCTATATGTTGCTGCTTTTTTGGCTAGTGTTAGGTCCTGTTCGAGAAAAATATGTATTATGAAAATATTTGGGAATTGTTGTTTTTCGCTTTTTTTGCGACGCTTTGGAACATTTTGGCAGAAATTTCTAATTTTCTCAAAAACTACTGTACCGATTTTTAAAAAAAAATGGTACAAATGAAAAATCGACAGCTCTTCTATGTTCCTGCATATTTCGCTGGATTCTTTTCATTTTACCTGACGTTCTACTGCCTTCAAAAGTTCTAGTAGGGGGATTTTTAACCTATTTGTTTCATTTTTTTCATTTTCTCAAATATTAAATGCTCAAATCTGAGATGAAGGTTTCAATCAAAAGAAAAAACTGTTGGGATTTCCCCTTCCCAAACGACTTTTCCTTAAATTCCGAAAATTGTTATTGCCTCAAAAATCCATGTTTACATTTTGGTTAATTCTCAAAATCTACCCTGCCAAATAGGAGAACAATTGTTTAACCAAAAGAAAAAAATCAGTTATCCGAATCTTACCTGCGCAAGCTACTTATCTGCGTTTTCGAAAAAAAATATGGCCTTAAAAAGTCCAGTTCTTAAGTTTTGTCCGTTTTTTTGGAATGTAATTCTTTTTTTTTTTCAAAAATTAACCGGCTGATTCTGGGGTTGATAGTTCATTAAAACTAACTTGATGCTTAGATTTTACCTGCGTAATCTGTTTTACCCTGTTTCTTGTAGAAAAGCTGATATGGACTTCGGAAACATTCCTTCATAAATTTTTAGCTTTTTTTAGAACTTTTGTCACTATTCTCGATAAATACTAGCTAAATCTGTTATAAAGGGTTCAATCTAAAAAAATCAAGGTGCAAATAGTCCATTTTTTTGAAAATTTCAAAGTTTACGCATTTCCGTATCAGTACAATATATGGTTAAAATTATAAGAATAAGTAAATCCAGCATTAGCTGGGCCATTATTTAACTTCCAAGCGTATGTGGCGCAGATGTGAGAACGTGATACTCCTAATCCCAATAAAAGTTTCAAGGTGTTTTTTTTCATTTTTTCCTTATTTCACTTTTTGCCTGTTTCAGCTTTTTTTGCATCTTCCTCGCTTGTGTTCGCGAAGCGCAGCTTCACTTCTGTGTCAGTTTTTGTATCTGTCTACTGCTCAAGTAAGATTCTGTGATTCAATATTATGTGTTTTTTAGAGTTATGTAGTCAATCGTTTTTTCAGTTTCCTTGATTTCCGTTGGCTATGGTTTTAAGACAAATTCTTTCACGGGCATTTGCTGTTTTCTGTCTGAAGTGCTTTTGTTCCGGCCATTGAAAATAGAGAGGAACTTTGTATTCGGGTGTTATAGTCTTTTTCTGTTTTTTTTCCGCGCAAAATCTTGTACCACAAATAATTATCGGACTGGGTTGAGTGATATATCATATTAAAGCCTTTCCTTTCAGTCGTCATTCGAACGACTTTTGATAATTTCCCAAAATAATTTTCGTGTTGAATAATTAGTTTGAAACTTTTAGTTGAAACTGAAACTAGTTTTGAAAGCTATTATAAGCACTTCTCTCTGGCAAGAAAATATTTTAAAAAATTCAAAAAAAATGATTTTTTTTTTCATTAAAATATTTTTTTTTTATTTTTTTTGTTCATTAATATTTTTTGAATGTCGATTATGCCTATTTTACTAACTTTTTATGCACTTTTTTATCATCACAGCATATGATAAAACGACACTTATTTAAAGAACTTAATGATGTAAAAAAACTTTCATTTAAAAATTTTATGAATATGGTTGGAACATTCTGTGCTACCTGCACAGCAACGAGCTTTCCTTGTTTTCATTTAAATTCATTTGAATTTGAATGATTTAAATTCAATTTTTAATTAAATTATACTGAAGCGATTACCTATTCGCCCAGTTTTCTCTAATTGGATTATTTTTTATTATATAAATTGAAAAGGTTCTTGAATCTGAAAGAGATTCAACTTGAGTTGTTTTTTGAATTTCGAAAGACGAAAAATTCATTGGAATAAGTCCTTCGTTTTTTTTTTGGTTTATTCTGTTCTATGACAGTTTTTTTTCTAATTTTGTTGGCTATGTTTAAGGCGCGTTTAATTCTGCCTGGTGTTTTATAAGAGGTTTGTGCATTGGAAGACAGCGAGGTGGCATTGCACAGTCGTGAAAGCAAAAATTCGTTTGTAGAGGTCTTTGGTTCAAATCTCGTACGACTGATAGCTTATTAAGTCTCGATGAACGAACTGAAGACAGTTTTATAGGTCAAATTTTTTTTATCTATTGATTCAGTTTTCTCTATGTGGGTTAATTTTATCACAAAATTTTCCATCATTATTCGCGCTTGCAATCCGAAAGTTGAGTTTAAGAGGTGAGTCAGTATTTTTTTGTTATCCTTGCGTTAACTGGCACTTCTTTCACTTGCGAAAGCAAAAGACTTCGAGTCGGGAACTGGACTTTTTTTTGCAGTCAACAACTTTTCTTTACTCTGCCGACATTCTTACATGCTTAAAGGCTGATATGCTCAATTTGACATCGTAGTTATTTTTTAAAATATATTGTTCGAAAAAATGTTGATTTTTTTTCTGACTTGTGGTCGGCCTAATTTATATCGGCTGATTGTCCTTTATTTTCAAATGCATTTCATATTATCTGGTAAGCTTTTTAAATGGTTGTTTTTCAAAGCTTTTTTTTTTTAATGATTCAAACAGTTTTTACTAAGATTGAAAGTTGCTCTGTAGTTTGTAAATTTACCAACTCTGATTTATAGTAATTTTGATAATTTAGATTTTTTTCGGTTGAGGATTCGGCGTATGTTATATCGGCCTAGTCAATTTATTTTAATTGCTTTCGTCTGCTTCAGGAGGGATGGGTCGTAAGAGTTATACTTTTTTATAGCTTCAATTTTTTTTGTCTACAGTTTAGTTTTCGGCTTGATGAGCATCGACCCAAGCTTTTTTGCTTTTGTAGCCGCTCTGTAATTGTTTCTCAATGCTATGAAGACTGTTGATGAACGTCGTCCGAGACAGAGGTATAAAATATTTGATATAGTTTTTTAGACTTAAATCAGGTTATTTTGTCAGCTTATTCTTTTTTGGAAAGACTTCCTTCTTTTTTCAACATATTGTAATACTATGTTTTTATTGTATCGCTAGTCAATTCATGTTGCGCAATTTTTTTTGCTTTTTCTTGGTTCAGCGGGATCGTAAAATTTCATAATAAATTTTATAGCCAAAATATGTATTATGTCTAGAGTTTCGTTTTCGGCTCGATGAGGATCGATCCAAGTTTTTTCGCCTTATTTTCCGCTCGGTCATTGTTTTTCAATGCTTTTAATGGCTGTTTATGAACATCGTTTGAGACAGCGACTTTTTCGGATTATTTTTTAAGCTTGTTTTTTTGGAAAAAGAAGACTTCCTTTTTTTCATTATCTTGTAATACAACATTTACGCTTGCGACTAGTAAGCGTTATCAAATGGAATATAGACACTTTTTTCGGGTTGAAAACTAGTTTTAAAAAATTCTGTTGAATCGCTTATGATGCTGCTGATATGCTCAATTTCATGAAAATTCAAATTGAACTTTCGGGTACTAGTTGCTACTCATGCTATATCTAGAACTCAAACTTTTGTATGTATAATTATTTAGTTTTGATAGTTATTTATCTTGATGATTTTTCGGTTTCATGCTTGTCGACTTAAGCTCTGTCAGTTTAGTTTCCATATTATTCAGTCTACCTTTGCATGCGCTACTTCTAAAGCTATCTTGGGTTCTATGTTGGCGTTACGTGAAATTTTTTTTTATGTATTTAACGAAAGTTTTTGGCTGAGTTTCAGCTTATTAGATATCGGCTTCAATTCTGGCGCCTTATTTATCATTTTTCCTTAAAGTACCCGGTAGTACTTTTGAGATCAAAAAGACTCTGGCACCAATTTTGTGAATGCCTAATTTCAAACACGAAAAAAAATTCTTTTTTATTTTCTCGTTTTTCTACTTCCACCTTTAATTGTAACATAGTTATAAGTGCTGCTTGCTAATTTTTCAGCGTCATGATGCACTCATCCTATAATTATTGTATCGCAAGTGGTGCAAAGCTCAGCTTCGCCTCTGTGTTTAATGGTATCGATAGGCAATTTATGTTGCGCAGTTTCAAGGGCGAAATGTTTTTATTGCTTTTGATTAATTCAGGAGTGATGGGTAGTAAAAATGTTTATAACTAGAGTATTTTTGTTTACAGTATCGTTTTCGGCTGAACGAGGATCGACTTGAATTTTTTCGCTTTAGTTGCCGCTCGGTCGTTGATTCTTAATGCTTGTTGAAACTGTTTATGGTTATCGTCCGAGACAATAAAAAGTATTTTCTACTTTTTTCAAGTTATTTTTTCAGCTTAATTTTTTTGGAAAAAAAACTTTCTTTTAACCTTTCCAATATTTTGTAATGCTGTGTTTTAATTGATTCGCAAGTGTTGCGAAGCTAGACTTTGCCTCTGTGTCGAAATCCTTGTTGGCTTTTTTAGTAATTTTAGTATAATTGATCTCATTGTTCAACTGCTGCTTTAGCTGCTAGGGCGGTTTATTTCAAAATTAATATTCTGGCCACTCTCTAAGTGGAAATGAAGTATGGTTGGGCGTGTTTTTTCCTCACGCGATCGAATGTGGCTTTTGTTACATTAAATCACGCTTTCATGCACGCTGATCTCTTTTCCGCATACATAGTTTTTGTTATAGCCATTTAATTATAACTATTAGTCTGTCAAAAAACTTCAGTGGTACAAAAAATGTTCAGCGTAAATATGTTTATCGAGTTAATCTAACTTTCGATTTTTTTGCCTCAGGTCTGAAGAGAGACAATTCAGACAGCACCATAGCATCATCAGATATGGAATCAGTTGCTCCTCAAAGCAGTGTGTACAGTGCTGATTTGGCGGGAAGACAGGGATCGGAGATGACAATCAATAGTGGACAGTTCTCGCTAGCATCTAGTGTTGCCAGCACGCCTATGCACATGGCTGCGGGAGGTCAAATATCTAAACAGAAGGTATAATTTATAAGGCTTTAAGTGGTTTTGTTTGAAAAACAAAACAATATCGCGCATTAGAGTGCAATATCTGGTTTTTTACCAGATGTGTGACACCAGTTGTTCTTAATCTATTATCTGGGATCCTTTCATGTGGCTTAGAGGGGATTTTCATGTGGTTTTAATCGAAACATCAAATGATTGTAATGGCATCTTTTTATGAGTTGATATGAAAGATCTTTCTTATGTTAAAGCCTTTCTTATTTTTCCCCAAAGATTTAATCCATAAGAAAAGCGTTCTAATTTTCTACTAGTTGGTTTCAGCCTCGATAATTTTAAATCAGACATTGTTATATGAATTATTTCGTATTAAAGGCTTTTTCTACTTTTCGTTGATAATCACTAATGAAGGGTTACCCTTGGCACGGGGATGAGAGCCCTTTATTATAAGAACCATCACTCTTGGACATCTTGTCAGAGAGTGTTTGAGGATCTGTTGTGTTGCAGTACCAGTCGATGGAGTCTGTGGGGGCGAATGAAGTGGGTCTGAGGGAGTTGTCCAATCAGATCAGACGCAGGTTCGTCCGAGACCAGTTCCGATTCAACGTCATGGTTGTCGGTAAGAAGCAGAAATATCTTATTCTCTATTGTTCATGCTGAATCATTGCTATTTTTAAATCTTTCACTTTGTTTTCAGATTTTTTTGATCAGGTTTATGTTTCACAGATCTCAATATCATGTAATCGAACACTTCGCAATATAGCTCAGCGATATTCTGAGAATATCGAAAGATAATAACATTTACATGGATCTCCTGGGTTAAAAGTTGATGTAATGAAAAGTTATATTTTGTTCTGTGTGTTACAGGTGAGACTGGTCTTGGTAAGTCGACATTCATCAACACCCTCTTCTACTCCACAATCTACCCAGCAGACCCGAACAGTCGCTCCTCGCAATCAGAAGACGGCAAGAACTGCGTCGTTCCCTCATGCTTCGACAGGTGGAACAAAACAGTGAAGGAAAGCAACGACAAACAAAACATAGCAAATAACTCTAGTACGTTTTTAATTATCTGTCGTAACCTCTTTTTTATCGAGGCTAGTTCAAATACAGACTATTTCTTCGCATCTCGCTCATTTATCATTTAGCTAATTACGCTTGCGAATATCAAATCGTGTGAATATGAATTAGCTTTTGTTTGAACCTGAATAGGATTAGGATTGGTTCTGGTTATGATAATTGTCGTTTCGATTGATAACTGACAAGTGTGACAGGCTCATAATTTATAGGATACATGGTACTAGCAGGATGTGTATGGAGCGTTTCCTTGTTCAATTAAAAACTTATTTTAACGTCTTACTGAAAGAAATGAAAGCGGTTCGATCTGAAGAAATGAACGTCTCCTAGTGTACTGGTGGTCCTTTCCTTCGTAGTGGACATTTTTATTGAACTAGGTATATCATTAACTAGGTCATATTCGTTATATCATTTCCAGGTACTGCTGCCTCTTCCGCCGGTTCTAAACCGAAGTCATCATACGGGTCATCGGTGCCCTCCAAAGGTCCCTCGAATCCCTTAGTGACTCCAATGAACAAACTAGCCTCACAGACCTCCCCGAAGCCAGACGACAGTAACTCTATTGGGTCTACAAGTGGTGTTGTGCAGTGGAGTGTGAATGACTTCCAATGTGTGATGACCGAGGGAAATGCGAAAATGACCCTTGGCTTGATTGATACGCCAGGATTCGCGCAGTTCTTGGACAATTCTAAATGGTGAGTTATATGGTAATCTGAATATAGTTCTTACCCTTCTGATAAGCAAGGGTATTGCAATCGAGATTTTTTTCTGTAAACAATTTTGTTCACAGGACACTTCTCATCTGGACTCATTTCTTTGAAGCCTCTTAGCAACCAATTTACCGCTACAGATATATTTTTTGCTTGTTGGGATTATAAATCGCAAATTGCCTCCTTCGACGAGCGAATTTTTTTTATGTGCGTGTGTGTTTTTGCATTTTGAGGGTAAGGGATCTTAATAACTTATAAAAGTCATAAAATTTTGGCTTAATAGTATAAACTCTCTTTTTTTTCAAACCTAAGTCGCAAATATTATTATTGTTCCGACGCAAATATTGTTGTGACAAAATGTGTTCATTTTGAAAGTGTTCATTTTGATCAATAACCAGCTATTAAGTACAGACAATGCTAAGAATATTAACGCAGACTATTATATTACAAATAGCACTTTAGCTTTAAGGGATCATGGGTCTGTAGCGTATAGGTAGGGAAGAGGACCCGCAACAAAAAAAGAGGGTTCGAACCTGGGCAGGGTCAGATGTTTTTAATGAACTTTTTCGTATACTAGCTAAAATGCGTCCGCTCTATAAACTGAGGCATATAAGTTAGCAATTTTTTTTTAAATTGACTGGTCCTGCTAATGCGTCATAATTGGCTTGCGTCTCTTGGCAATTATGTAGACTCATAATTGGCGTGCGTCACTCAAGAAGTTTTGAGCGTGTGTGTTTTTGAAGGCCAGGGGATTTTTTCGGCCTATTTTATATCCGCTTAGAGGCCTCATATTGTTTCCTTTGACGGGCGAATAAAGTGTGTCTGTGTGTGTTGAGGGTGAGGGGACCTAATAAATTTTTATAATCTTGTTCATTTTTTTCAGCTTAAAGGATTTTTGCTAAGGTGTTTTCCGTTTGTTACCGCTTAATAAATTTTTTTTCGATGCGAATTTTACATTCTATTGTCCTGGCTGGTTTTGCGTTTAAAAGTAGCTCTATGCATTTTGATAGATTAGTTTTTTTGAATTTTTTATTCAAGCGGCTTTCTTGTTTTGTATCGCAAGTGGTGCGAAGCGAAGCTTCGCCTCTTAATTTATTCTTGCAATTAGCGAGCTTTATTTGATTTTGTAACTACCTAGGTTCAGTTTTAGGGATTCAGAAAATATATTCCTTGTGTTTTGAAAACGTTGTTATCCATCTTCGTATGATTTTGGATTGTGAATTCATGATTGTATTTATGACTATTTGGTTAAAGATTTTTAAACGTTTTTGTTATAGCTCAGTTTTTATTATAGCTCAGAGCCCTTAGTAGAATACATCAACAAACAGTTTGACCGATATATGACAATCGAATCCCAAATCGACAGGTCGAACAACAAGGAGAATTCAAAATACTCAAAGTCATCGACGGGACTGAGTACTAAGTTACAAAATGACCCTAGAGTTCACTGCTGCATCTACTTCTTGTCTCCTCAGAATCCGCACAGGTTAGCGAGTCATTTCCGTAGTTTATCTGCCCCTCAATCAAAATGTCGCTGGTTCGAGGTCTATCATAATCTGTGTTTGTTGCTTTACTATCTTTGCCAGCAACAAAAAAAGTTAACATAATTTTTTTTCGTCTTCAGAAGCAACCATAGTGACATGCTTCAAATAGCTGAACATCCCGCGTCGAGTTAAGTTCTCAGTTAAAAAAAAAACAATTGAAAACTTAAATTGCAGAACGGAAATCTCAGAACCTTTTGGTTCTTCATTCGTTTCCGATAAGAACTGCCTTGATCTGTTTTGATAAAGTTGTTTCAATTAAGAAAAGTGTAATTTATGAACAGGTTAAAAGCTGTTGACGTTGAGGCAATGAAGAGTCTAGGCGACAAAGTGAACTTGATCCCTGTAATCGCAAAAGCAGACACTCTTACTCCAGAGGAGCTGAAAGATTTCAAAGCGATGGTCTTGAAGGAACTAGATACGCATGGAATTAAATTGTTCCAGATCCCGGAAGTTTCAAGTTTACAGCAGCAGTTAGATCCTGAGTTAGGACCCGAGAATAAGAAATACAAGGTACAGTGTTGTGTAATATTGTCAGTGCGAAACCCTAGTCTAAAGAGCTTCATCGAGAATTTCGTGAACTTTCTTTTTTAAGAGTAATGAACGTAGTGAAGACTCTTATATAGGTCTTGCTGATGTTATTTTGTTCTTTTTTCCAGGAAAAAGTCTTAAAATATTGATGCACTTAGGTATATATGCACTTTTTGAGTTCAATTGAAATTCATCTGCTGAAAGTGACTTAAATAGCACTCCACAAATACGAACGTGCAAATGGCGCTTAAGTTCGTGAATGATTTCTGGTTTCAAAAGTGGAATTTAATTTTTTTTAGATTTCCAGCCGAATAAAAATTTTACTTGTTGATCCAGTTTTTTCACGTTGGGTTAATGTTATCAAAAAAGCGCCAATCATAAATCGTTCTAGAAATTCAAAGTGCTTAAAGGCCATCTATTTTTTCTTCCAAATTTGGAAGTTGAGATTTTTTTAACAAAGTAAGTGTTTTTTTATGTTTACTTGCGTTCATTACTCTTAATCTTCGATTGGCTATGTTTGTCTATTTGCAATCAAAATCTGACAAAACATTCGTAATCCTTATGTTTTAGAGTCTCAGTCCATTCGCGGTATGTGGCAGCAATCATGCTCGATCGAAAGATGGACTCAGAGTGCGAGAGTACGCGTTTGGCACAGTAGAAAGTAAGGCCTTGATTTTGAGTTTGTATTTGGCCTTGCGATAAGCAAGGGTATTGTAATCAGATACTGGACTTTTTTCTCGCAAATAAATTTGTTTATAGACTGATCAATTTTGTAGGAACGGTGAGTTTTAAGACATGCTCAACTCTGAAAATTCAAGCAAAACTACCTCATCTAGGTAGTAAATATGGGGAGTACATTTCGGACATAGATTTTTTTTTCAAATGATTATTTTTTTAATAAATTTTTGCAAAAATTTAAGCTTGTTAGAAAGGTACTCTTACTTTTTTCAAAACAAAAGTATAAATGGGAAGATCGCCGACTCCTCTGTGTGTCTGCATAATCTCTAGTATATATTTTATACTTTACCGTACTGTCTACAGCCTTCGAAAAAATCTATGGGGGAAATTTGATTCTAATTTTTGGATTTTTTGTGTTTACTGAAAAACTATCCCAAATATGAGATTTGGGCTCATTGAGAAGATTTCCCAACCTGTTCTTTCACTCAAGCAAAACTACCCCATCTAGATAGTAAATATGGGGATTACGTTTCGGACATTGATTATTATTTCAAATGATTATCTTTTTAATAAATTTTGCAATATGTAAGCTTGTTGGAAAGCTACTCTTTCTATGTTCAAAACCAAAAGTTTAAATGGGTAGACCGCCCACTCCTCTGTGTGCCTGCATAGTCCCTAGTAAATATTTTTTACTTTACCGTACTGCCTACAGTCTTCGAAAAAGTCTATGGGTAAATTTGACTCTAATTTTTGGATTTTTTATGCTTACTGAAAAACTACTCTCCCAAATCTGAAATTTGGGTTCAATGAGAAGATTGGGTTGCACAAGCGGCTGCGCTGGAATTTTGTACACTGATGGTTCTGGCCATCGGAATAGTGAAATACGTGATTTTTTGACCGTCTTTTGAAATGTTTTGACTTTTCTCAGAAACTATTCTCCCAAATCATTAAGCAAAAATTCGTGAACGACTCTAGTTTCGAAAGTGGAATTTAGTTTTTAGATTTCCAGCGGAATAAAAATAGTACCTATTGATCCAGTTTTTTCAAGTTTGGTTAATTTTATCAGAAAAGTGCCAAATTTAACTTGTTCTAGAAATTCAAAGAGCTTAAAGGGCATCTTTTTTTTCTTTGAAATTCGATTTTTTCAAAAAAGCCAGTGTTTTTTCTGTTGCGTTCCTTACTCTTTTCTTTTCCAGCTATCAGTTGGTTATGTTCAGTTTCTTGAAAGTTCAAATAAAAATACTTGCAAGTTCATATAGAGTAGTAATTAAATTTTTCAAATTTAAATGTTGAAAAAATGTTGAGTTTTTCGAATTTGTGGTTTTCGTCTTTGTTTCACTCTTACTGGAAGTTGCTTTCTAGTTTCTTAATTTGCCAACTCTGATTCTTGATAATTTTAAACTTTTTTTCAACCAATTTAACTTGTTCTAGAAATTCAAAGAGCTTAAAGGGCATCTTTTTTTTTCTTTGAAATTCGATTTCTTCAAAAAAGCCAGTGTTTTTTTCTGTTGCGTTCCTTACTCTTTTCCACCTATCAGTTGGTTATGTTCAGTTTCTTGAAAGTTCAAATAAGAATTCTTGCAAGTTCATGTGGAGTAGTAATTAAATTTTTCAAATTTAAATGTTGAAAAAATGTTGAGTGTTTTTCGAATTTGTGGTTTTCGTCTTTGTTTCACTCTTACTGGAAGTTGCTTTGTAATTTCTTAATTTGCCAACTCTGATTCTTGATAATTTTAAACTTTTTTCAATCAATTTAACTTGTTCTAGAAATTCAAAGAGCTTAAAGGGCATCTGTTTTTTTCTTTGAAGTTCGATTTCTTCAAAAAAGCCAGTGTTTTTTCTGTTGCGTTCCTTACTCTTTTCTTTTCCAGCTATCAGTTGGTTATGTTCAGTTTCTTGAAAGTTCAAATAAGAATTCTTGCAAGTTCATGTGGAGTAGTAATTAAATTTTTCAAATTTAAATGTTGAAAAAATTTTGAGTGTTTTTCGAATTTGTGGTTTTCGTCTTTGTTTCACTCTTATTGGAAGTTGCTTTGTAGTTTGTTAATTTGCCAACTCTGATTCTTGATAATTTTTTATGATTTCTATTTCGGTTAAACAGGTTCAGCGTATGTTATGTGGGCTTAATCAACTTTTGTTGCGCAGTTTCAAGGGCCAATTTTTTTATTGTTTGTCTGTCTCAGAAGGAACGAATCGTAAAAACTATGCTTTAAAATTTTTATAGCTTGATCGTTTTATGTCTACAGTTTTGTTTTTGGCTTAACGAGCGTCGACCCAACCCAAGTTTTTTCGCCTTGATTGCCGCTCGTTCATTGTTTCTCTAGGCGTGTTTCTGCTGTTTATGAACGTTGTTCATGTTTTAATTGTGTCGCGAATCAATTTATTGTTGCGCAATTTTAAGAGTGAATTGTTTTTAATGCTTTTGCCTGTTTCAGGATGGATAGCTCTTAAAAATTCAACTTGAAAAAACTTCAACTTGAAATTTGTTATGTCTACAAATTTCCTTTTCCGCATAACGAGAGTCGATCCAAGTTTTTTGCCTTAGTAGCCGCTCGGTTATTGATTATCAATGCTTATTAAGGCTGTTTATGCACATCGTCCAAGACAAAGGTATGAAATTTAGGGACAAAAGGTATGGGATAAAGTTATGTAGATTTTTAGTAGTTTTTTTCGACTTTTTTCAAGTTATTTTTTCAGCTTAATATTTTGAACAAAAAATATCCCTCCTTTAACCTTTGTAATGCATTCCTTTGTAATTTTGTAATGCATTCTTTTAATTGTATCGCAAATGTTGCGAAGCTCTGCTTCGCCTCTGTGTATATTATTGCTACTTTTCCAAAACGATTCACAGGTCAAAAGGTGGAAAAGTCTGACCACCAGAATTGAGGGGAGGTGGATCCGTTATCTATGTTTTATTCGTTCTATCTTATCCGTTCTTAGTTGAGAACGAGGCACACAATGACTTTGTTGCACTGAGGAGTATCCTGATGCAGATCCATACATGGAACCTGATAGACAGCACCAGGGAGCAACACTACGAGAAGTACAGGAGCTCAAAGCTGGCATCCACCATCGGCTCTACAGCTGCATCTGCGCCAGGCACTGCTGGTGGAAAAGATGCATCGGGAAAAGCATTAGGTACAGTTGAACTTGATTTTGCTGTATAATTTTGCAATTTGTAACTTTATTTACAAAAAAAATCACTCTTCGGTCTCAAAAGTCGATTTTCTTTTTCGGTCCATTTTAGTGCAACTTTCGGCATTTTCTCCGTTTGCAATTTAATACCTGCATTTTGCTCATCTCTTGAATTAAAAATGAAGATAGATTTTGCCGTAGGTTCGAATCCCTCCGTCAACAAAGGTCCGCTAGCCATTTTGAGCGAGGAGAAAAAAGCACATGAGGAGCGTCTATCCAAAATGCAGGACGACATGCAACGCGTGTTTGAACAGAAAGTAGCCGAAAAAGAACGTCGCCTGAAAATGAAAGAAGACGAAATGCTTAGAAAACATGAAGAAATGAATCGTAATTTGGAAGCGCAACAGGCTGCATTGGCAGCAGCCAAAGATCAACACGAGAGGAATTTGCAAGCGTGGACCGAGTCGACGGCAGCAGCGGTGTCGGCAGCCAATCAGAATGCAGCTACACTCGGGTATCCGGGAGAGGCGGAGGGAAACTCAAGTGGATACGGAACGTAAGGATGTCTGAAATAGATTTCTAATTGCGGGAAAGTGCCGCTTCAAATTGGCTGCAAAACTATTTAATTATCTTCGGTGTGAAGATAAAAGCGTCAGTGACCGAAAATTTGTATGGTTTCTTTTGGAACCATGCAAATTTGATATTCATAGAGAATCCAAATGGGTTGAATTTCAGTTTTGGCGATTTCCTTTAAGTGAATTATCAAAACAATATAAATATAGTTATATAGATGTCGGAATTTTAGTGCGACAACTCCAAACTTCAGGTTTGTATTACAGCGCAGGCGGCGTCTGAATTGCGTAAATTTTGGCTTGAAAAAATACACTTGAATTGCTAAATTGTTTAAATGTAGCTTGTTATGAAACATCGGAATGCATAATGGAACACAGATTTTGAAATGAATGATTTGGTGTTATCATCATATCGTTTACTGGGCTGTTAGATTTGAGATAATATGGAGGAAAATTCTGGTTTTATTGTCAATATTGCTTATTGGGTTCTTAGTTTGGAAAGTTTTGGTTTCATCATCATTGCTTATTGAGCTCTTAGAATTGAAAAATGGTGACAAGTTTTAGTTAAATTATCATTATTGCTTATTGCGCTTTTAAATTTGAACAAATTGTGGTAAGTTTTAGTTTTATCATCATCGTTGCTTCTCGGGCTTTAAGTTTTGAAAAAATGGTGGAAAGTTTTGGTTCCATCATCAGTATTGCTGATTGGGATCTTAGATTTCAAAAAAGGTGGAAAACTTCAGGTTTTCATCAGAGTTGCTTATTGTGCTCCTGGATCTGGAAAAAGTCGAAAAAGTGAATCAAGTTTCAATGAACGTCGAAAAGACACTATATAGGTCTTCTTGATTTTTTTAATGAATAAGTTTTTAAATTGGTTCACTCAAAATATAAATTTTTCAAACTGAATTGATTTTTTCCCCAGCTTAACTCAAATGAATTTGCTCAAAAAAAACATTTTCAAAAAAAATTGTAGATTTTTTTTGCAGGTTTTTGCGGAAATTGATTTTCCGAGCTCTCCCAAAGCACTAAAAAGACCCTGTTTTGGCCGAATTTTCTGCGCCGCAGGAAAAATTTTTAAAAACCGGCCGAAAAAAGCGTTATTAGACCTTTTGGGAATTTTTAAATTTTGGGGGACTCTTTGGTTGGTGTGTGGGTCGAATCTCAGAGGGGAAAGTCTTTAAAAAATTTTTGGGCTAAAATTGACTTTTCGCTGTTTATTTTGTGATTTCTTTTTGAGTTCAGTTCATTTCCTTGGTTAAAATGAAGGCAAACTTCACTATCGAATAGCAAAATTGTTAAGGTCTCGAACAACGTGCGTGACCGACTTCTAGTTTCGAAAGTGCAATTTAATATTTCAGATTTCCCAGCGAAATATCTAAATTATTTATTGATCAATTTTTCTCAAATTGGGTTAATTTTATCATAAAAGTGGTCGGTCAGAAATTGTTCTATAATTTCATAAAGCTTAAATGCCACCCATTTTTTGCAAATTCCATTGTGAGATTTTTTAAAAAGTAAGTCAATATTTTTTCTGTTTGCTTGTTTTCATTGACTTGTTTTCAATTTTCTGTTTGATATAGTCGAAAAGTGTTTATTTTTTTCCACTATCTCCTGTAGTTCATGTAATTTTTTCCAACTGTATCTCTTGCGTAAGATTTTTGTGTAGCTCCAAAGGATGTTATCTATTTCCCTCTTATGGTACCTAGTTAGGAATAATTATCCCTGTAAAAACAATAATTCAAGGTTTAAGCAAATTTGACTTCTGTACCTTGAGTCCTCATTTTGCAATAGGTAGGATAGCTAGTAAGATTCGTCAAGTTTCTATAGTTTTTGAAATATTTTTACTGGCCACATTAGATGGAGTAGTTTTCATAGCAAACAATGCAGTTGTAGTAAATTAATGATTGATCTCATCATTTTAATCTAACCTTCGCAACATATAACCAAGTGTTTTTCCTCTTAATAACAGTTTCTCCTTTTTTGACACTCGGTGACAGTCGAACATCGAAACTTTTGTTTTTAGTTCGAAGAACATGTAAGTTAAAAACAATGCACTGGTCCAAAAAGAAGTCGATAAAATGATTCAACGCCGGTTTTTGCTTATTCGGCTCAAAATGATGCTCAAATTGCCGCATTTTGGTAATTTGTCTGATTTCAACCAATCGGTTTGTTCATTCAAATTTTTCAAGATTTGCAATTTTGGGCCGAAAAAGTACAAGACCCCCAATGCTTTCTATATATCTTCCTCATTTGTTTTTAAGTATGGTTGAGTAGCAAGCGTTATCAATATCTGTAGACTATTAGAGTTGGGTCTTTGTGTCATGGCCTGGACATGGTTGAAATCACTTCAGATGATTCTTCAGACAAGTGCATTGAAAGTTTCTGTTGGTCAAGCACTCTTGTTAGTTGCGTTGATTGCGTGAGGGGTTTTGCTATCCGGCTATTTCGTGATCATTAAGCGGAAATACTTCAAAAAGTTTGGCTGGTTAACGCCAAGATGTAACTTGTTCGGCCCAGTTAAGCATATCTCGAAATATAAAAATGAATAAGACGTGAAATGAAAATATTCTGATTCGCTGAAAAAATGAGCTCTCAGAGTATGTTGAGTCTCGTATTTAAATAAGTTGTACGATTCTCAATTTTTTGGCCGAATTAGTTTTAAAAATGTCTTCATTTTGCTCCTATAAGATAAACAGATTGTGATGAAGCTTCGCATTTGTATTATACGCTTTCGATTTATGCATACTGTCAAAAATGGAATATAACAATTTATGATTACGTTTATTTAGTTCTAATTTTTAAATCTGATTTAACTATGTTTCAGCTTGAAAGACAAAAAGAAGAAGTTATTCGGAAGATAAAGCAATACATCATCAGTGTCACAGATGAAAAATAATTTGAGATGGACTATGCCTTTTGATAATAATGCCAAAATTCACCATGCGCGTTGAGCCATGTCAAAGCGGAAGCCTCAGAAATGAATGATCCTGAACTCTTTCTGTTTTGGACTCATTGTTTCCTTCCACAAATATGCCTCAAAAATGTTATAATTTCTGCTCCTTTTTTCGATGAAACTGCGTAGCATGCGTGTTGCGTACTTATCCACTGAATGTTGCTACCCGAAATATCTATTTTGATTACCTAATTTGTGCAGTTTTTTGCATGATGTTTGTACCAAAGCGTACGGAGTTGCAGTCCTGAGGTCAATCAAGTGCAGATTTTCTTCAAAACTTAGATAATTATGTCGTAGTTTACGATTGCATTCTTATAATGCATGGTGCAATATATTTTAACAGCTAACTACTGTTCCTCACAATTTTGCAGCTTTTTGTTCGGCGGTAATAAATTTCAATGTCGAAAAATTTTGGTACTAAATTTGCAGTCCTGTAAGTTCGTTAAATATAATGAGTGACGATGTTGTTCTCGCAGTTGTGGTTGTCAAAAAGTTATTTACAAATAATTGCATAAATTATTCAATTAATTTCAGTTCATCTGGTTTGTCGTTTCATCTGTCTGCCCCATTTATTATTTTGTAAATTATCCGTACAATTCTAATCTAATAATTGTCATGCTCAGAATAATTTAATACTGTTTACAATTTTTTGACGAGAAATTTTGAGCATTGAGGGTTTGAAAAAATACAGGCGAATGTTTGGTTTTCGCACAGCTCTCCCAGAAGTCAATACTATATCGCAATTTATGAGGAGGGTGCGTCACTCACTTTTAAATACGTAACACGAGGACTGGAAAATTTTTTCCAACTGTCGATTCATTCAATGTACTTAAAAGCGGATTGATTGATTAACTAAAGCTTTGCGACGTAAGGTATTGCATAATTTTCTAACTAATTAGCAGCTTTAAATTTGGCTTTTTCAGGTTGCACTTCATAAAACAAAATTGCAAACATATCGTTTCATGTCGAACCGAAAACAAAAACTGCTCGTGTTCTGTCGAAATAATTGTGGTATATAAATTAGCCGAAATTACATAAGTGGTCTATAATAGTTATGCAACAATTATGTAACAGTTACGAAAGTTATGAAAATTTCATTTATATCATGTAACTTTTCGGCTGGCATATATACTCTGTGCGTGGTCAATTGGTTTATACTTCGGCTGGTTTATTTACCAAGAAATAATTCACAATCAATGGAGCAAATAACTTAATGTGATGCTTTGTCATTGCTCCTACTAATGAAATTTTTGGGCTAGGTTTCTTTGTCTTATCAATTTCCGAGCTCAAAATCAGTTTTTGATTACCCCTGCTATAAGCAACAGTATTTCAATCAGTTTCTGGGATTTCCGCTAACTTCTTTGTTCGCAAAGTTACTTCCAACCTGATTTTCTGTCAACCAGATTTTCTGTCAACCGAAAGACAGGTTTCGGGCATTCTGGTGTTAAGTACCCTATCTATTCGTAAGTTGCTATATATGTTGATTGTTGAATTATGAGTTTCATTTGTGATAAAATTTCACTTCGTTCTGTTTATTCGGGTTGAAAGATTATGTTTACTATTTCGGTATTGAGTGTCGTTTATTAAGCTAAATAGTCTTTTCTCATTGCATTTTTAAGTTGAAAGAAAAATAAAACATTTTCTTTTTAAGGCTCAACAGGTGTCTGCTGAACTATGTCCAGCTTTGTTGCCGCTTAGTAGGTTTCATAAGATGCTAACTTCCCACTCAATTGACTCGGCATGCCTTTTTTGAAATGAAGTTAATTCAAACGAAATGGATGCGCACATAAAAAAATAAATTGATGTCAATCTTCCGTGAATTATCGAATTTTTTGAAGGCTAACGTCTCATTCCTAATTGACCTGATTAACATGCTGCATTTGTTTTGAATCGCCGATTAAAAAAATCGTTTTATTGAATTCTGTAAGTTGGCAACAAAAAAGTTTAAAAGAAAGTCAGATCGTTTGGGGAAAATGAGCTGAATTGCAAGTGAATGGAATTGAGCAAGTTGTATGAGTAGCCGATAAGTAAATCAACTAGAGTAAAAAATCATAATTTTTGAAATTCTACATGCAAGCAGCAGAACTCAGACGTTTATATATATTTTGCTGTTGTGTGACGATATGGTTCATTTTTATCGATGTTTGACGGTAAAAGTGGATAATTGAATTACAATTTGGCTGACTACCCAAGCAAAGCTTGTGTGATAGTATGAGCTCTCTTTTTTTCCTACCTAAGTAGCACATAGTCTTCATTTTGAAAATGTTCCTTACGATCAATAACCAGCTATTAAGTACAGCCAATGCTAAGGATACTAAAACAGACTATCGTATTACCAATAGCACTTTAGTTTCAAGGTATCATGGATTTGTAGCTTAGAGTTAGGGAAGCAAACCCGCAACAAATTAAGAGTCCACTCTATAAATTGAGGAATGATAGTTGGTAATTTTTTTTCAAATTGACTGGTACTACTAATGCGACATAATTGGCTTGCGTCACTTGGCATATGTTGAACCACAATTGGTGTGCGTCACTTAAGAAATTTTATAGACTCAAAGTTTTACTCGTTCAGTTTTTCCGAGAAGCTTTATCATTAATCTTTTTGCTCGTGTAAACAAAATGGAACTTCGCCTCTGTGTAATTTTTAGCTATGTGATGTGTTATTGTTCCGGTCCTTTGAAAAATTAGAATGAACTTTGTGTTCGGTGTAGTTTACCTTACGAAGCCAAACTGTGCACTGGGTAGGCGCTCATCTTGGTGTCTGAATGTTCTAGGACTCCAGAAACATGTCTTTGAACATGTTCTAAAATCTTAGTGGATTCCACTAACAAACTTTCCGTGGATTCCGCGTCCAAATGACTAACTTAAGCTTTGTCGGCACATTAGTTCAGTCGCAGATTCTGCATCGAGCGAATATAGCTAGTTTTTCCAGATTCGGTAAACGCAAGCGGATTCCACAAAGTCAAATGGATCGATAACTTGTTTGTTATACTGAACTGAACTAGTCCTTGCGTGAAAATTATGATCTACAGTAAGAATTGTTACCTAGCAAACGCGGAATTTAGAGGCAAGGATATATATTTTTTTGTTGAATCTAACAACGAAGCTTTCATCATTGTTCAACTAAAATTGTAGATGTGCGCCTTTAGTGTTTGGAATATTTGAAACTTTTGAATAGTTCAGCATTATAAATATAATCTTGTTTGAAGTAGTGCAGTAATCCAACAATATAGAAAACTTATCATTGAAAGAGCACCAACTTGAGCAAGCGCAGAAGGTAATTCAACCTGTTGAAGCGCCGCTGAAAACTTTTCATTGAGTACTATTTTATATGGACCTGATTGTTTAATCTAAGTAACGTTTATTCAGAAAAAAATTAATAGATTTGAAGAAAAAAACTGAAATTTCGAAAACTTACAGTTCACTTATCTTGCATCTTTTTAATAATTTTTTTCTCTTAAAAATATATACGAATATGCAATAGTTCAGAATTATAACAGCATTATAACATCATAATAGTTCAGCATTATAACCCATGAAATAGTTAACCTCATTTTTCACTCATAATTTCCAAGAGGTTGATTACAGGTTAATTATATATCTTAGATTTGAGCTGAGAACAAGGATACTTTGCAGATGGTTAAAAAAATTATTTGCCAAAAATGACAATTTCGAACATCGAAACTGGTCTGGAGAAAAAGAAACATCACCCCAAGCACAAAAATTCCAACTTTCTCAGAAAGCCGTGGCAAAAACTTCAAAACTTCCTGCAAAAATCACTTCCTTGCAAACCATTCAAATGTAAAAGGTCTTTAGAACTATGCCGTTTTTTATCGGTGTTTCTCGTACCTAGATCACCCGCGTCATGGTTTTATTCTAGTATCTCATTTTCCTGACTCCCGAGAACTTTAGTTTTCCAATTTGGTCTTCAAGAGTTAATTGAATAGGCTTAGCTTAATATTTGCTGCAGTGCATTTAAGTGCTCCAATTCTCCGTATCGTCAACACGCATTTCTGCCATCCAAAACTATTTGAAAAAAAATACCAGAATCCAAAAAAAAACAAAGTCCTTTAAAATTCATTCTTAAATTTTTGACGGTTTCTTGAAAACAATGCTCGTAAGTAAAGCTACCAGAGAAACTTAATCAGCTAAGCTAAAACAAACATTTTAACTTTTTTGATTTTTTTTGAGGTAAACCAGAGATCAACTAATGACTCAGCATGTGCGAATATCTCTTCATGTTTTGTCGAAGTACATAAGAGCACAAACAATAACGCTAACACCATGCTAAGTGCAAAATAAGAAAAAGAGATATTACCTTCTCGAAAAGACAGGTGTTCGCAGCAGTCTCGCTTTTTTGGCGTTACTCGCGATGTTTTTGGTTAAAAGCACCTCGCTTGGAGGTGCTAGCAAAGTTATACTTCGAGTTGAAGCTACACACTACTATGCTTTATATGGCTAAGCACAGTCAGAAAAAGATCATTGATTGCTTTTATAAATTTTATTACTGAGTCATAAACTATCATTGTCTGAAGTAACGACAGACTCTTTTGTTTTCACAAATAACTTGTAACTCTTTTTTTTACTTTTGAGTCTGAATACTTTTTCTCTTTTTTCATGTTTGTATCTTGAGAACGAAAAACTAGCGTAACATGATTTTTTCTTGCACTAAAGCTTCAAAGCAATTTTCAATTATTTTTTTCTGCGTAATTTTGATAGCAATTTCGTTTGTTCTTCTGCTTCTTGAACAGAAGCGATGGCGCGATGATGATTGGGAGTTTAAAAAACAAAGCGACCAGAACTTGACACTTATTAACGTGTATTTGGATCAAAATAAAATAGACAAAATCCAGAATGTTGTATCAGTTCTTAGAATTGTGCTAACCAGTTCTTTATGTATAACAATTATCATATCTTTTGTCACCATAGTTTTCCAAATTGTTCATCAAGCCACCAAACTGGGCTCAAAGTGCGCAAAATTTAGTTTTGCTGTTTTCATATTTGCTTTATTGGGCTTCGGATTATCTCTGTTCTGCCAGTTTTCGATAATTTTCCTCGAAAAACTTCAAACTTCCGAGGAAAAATGGAACATGATACTCATTTCTGTTTTTATGGCTGTGACCTTGTTATTAACATGCGTAGTTATAGTTGGTGTCGTTATTTACTTATGCATATCCTGTGAAAAGATGGCTTATGGGTTGAACAAAAGCGAAACAAGTGAAAAGATTTCAAAGCCGGAAGTTCCTCTTAGGATTCCAAATGGTCATTTGGCTCAAAGTCAAGAGAAGAGTGCCGAGCTGGAATCGGCGCTGAATGGGGCTCAGAGTAGGGTATCCCAGACACTGCCCAAGATGAGACATAGCAAGTTCATCGAAGCCAATGGTAACTTAATTTTTCAGCATCCAAATCGCCCTGAAAGTATCTAAATCTTTTTTGGCGGATTTTTTTTTTCAAATTTTTATCTAATAATTGTGTCATTTTAAATTTTTAAATTCTTACGCGTAAACTGAAATTATTGCTTGAAAAAATAAAATAAATGATAAGTTGGTTCATGAAAAAAAATTACTTTTAGAGAAAAACCTGACATTTTTTTTCTAAGTTTATGAATAATTTCGATCTTATTTCAGCCGTTTTGACCCAATCCACACCTGTTTCTCCAACTTCTCCCATGAGTGGGGTAGGCTCAACGGCAGCCCAGAGGCAACAGAGTTACCCTCATTTTGCATTCACGAATGAGGGACTGGCCGCTTCCCAGTTTTTCCAGCACCCGTCCGAGTCCATGAGCAACGTGAACAAGAGCTCTGAGAGTGTCCCCAGAATGCTGGCTGAAGGCGGGATGGCGACTCTTGTATAAAATAATTTGTCTCGATAGTAATAAAATTAAAATTTATTCAATTCTCAAAAATTATTTATAAATAAAATGTTTATTTGAGTTCCTTTTTTGAGCCTACATCGTGTTTTCACCAACCAAAAGCATTCGGAATAAAAGCCTCAGTCACTCCAGAAAATGTCATCATAGAACGAGGTCATATCACTTCCTAAAGATGAGCCGAAAGCAGAATTTTTCCTTAATTACCTTTATTTAAAAAAGAATTGATTTATCGCTGAATTAGGACTTGTATTTTTTCGACCGAACGTTCAATGTCGTTTTCCTCCACTTTTGTTTTCATCCTGATTTCCAAATTCACTAAACTCAAGCTACTATGACCTAAAATGGAAACCCGTGACAAGTTCCATATATCAGACAACTTGAAGAGTGATACGAACTGCTGAAATCAGCGCGAAGCCTTGAAAGCTCCGACTGCTCTTAAACGTGTATGAAGTAGTTTTCAATAAAAAAAATTGACAGATTTTGAAAATTTTCCACCACAAGCTATGAAATGAGAAAAATTATATATTTTGCACCTAGTAGTGCTTTAATTAAAATAAAAAGATTTCAATACTGTTAAATTTCACTTTCCATAACTATTTAGAGCATGACTATTTAGTCACAGAGATTTTTAAAACTATTTGCAGTAAGCAAAAAGCAACAAAACGTTGAAAAAATTAGTATCATAACAGTCTGTAATGAAGTTTCCAACTGATTAACGTTAAATCAAAAATGATTTAGCTGAGCGACCATAGTTTATTAGATTCGATTTTCTACTTTTAATTGAAAGGAAAACTAAAGTTTAATGTGCTGATTGCTTACACTGATTCGTTGTTTCTATACATGAGATAACAGGACACTTATCTTTAAAGCAGTACTTTCACTTTTGAGTTTTTATAAATGCTAAGAACTTCCCTTTTCTGCATCTTCCCTTTTCTGAATCTACAACAGCTAGACCAATCGCCCAGCCCTCCCCCCAAAAACTAGAATGTTATAAATAACTAATTGATGTCATCGCAGCTTTTATTCAATTGATTCGGAACTTCGAAAAGAAAATGGTTTTGAAAAGCTTCAAACTTCTTAGATACCAGAAAAGTCACATGTTTCAACTTATACATGCAAAAAAAAAACAATTTTTTAACAACAAGAAGTATTTAGTGGAAAAACCTCTAGTTCATAGCTGCAAAATTTGTTTTTAACTTGAAAAAGTTGAAAGTTATTTTCATCGCACGTCTTTCTATTTCAGACAAAAAGTTGTGTGCAGACTTGTTTTTGTTTTTTTTAACTGCAAAAGCGAGCTCGTTGTTGTGACTTCTCGAGATTATACGCTTTAACGCTAATTTAAGACTCACTAAACTCAAGCTCTCATATCCTAAAAGGGAAATCTTGAAAAAGTGAGACAAAACTGCTCGCATCAGCGCCTTGAAGCTTTAAACGCTCCGACTGTCCTTACACGGGTATGAAATAGTTTTGAATTAAACAAATTGATAGCTTTTTCAAAAATTTTCCACCGCCAGCTACGAAATGAGAAAATTTGCATATTTTGCAAGTAGTAATGCTTTAATTAGATTGAAAGTATTTCAATACTCTTAGTATCAGTTTCCACGACTATTTAGAGCATGACTATTTAGTCAGAGAGTGTTTTTTTACTATTTGCTGTAAGCAAAAAGCAGTAAAAGATTGAACAATTTATTATCATAAAGAGTCTGTAATAAAGTTTCGAGCTAAGTAACGTTAACCAAAAAAAAATATATAGCTGAGCAACCATAGTTTATTAGATTCGATTCTTCTTATTTTAATTGAATGGAAAACAAAAACTGCATGGGCTAATTGCTTATCCTGATTCGTTGTTTTTATATCTGAGATAACAGGAAACTTATAGTTTTATAATCGGGTGCTGTAAATTTGTCACGGATTGATTCAGAGCTACTGAAATTCATGAATACTAAAAATTTCCAAACCTTTCGCTGCCTCTACAGCAGTTAAACCAATCCATCTCCAAAAAAATTGCTAGAATATTTTAAATAACTAACTGATAGCATCACAACTTTTGTTCACTTGATTCAAAATTTTGAAAAGAAAATGGCTTTAAAAAGCTTCAAACTTCCTTGATACCAGAGAAGTCATATGTCTCAACTTATACATGCAATAAAACAATTTTCTTAACATCAAGAAGTATATAGTGGAAAAACTTCTACTTCATAGCTTCAATATTTGTCTTTACCTTGAAAACAGTGAAAATTAATTTCATTGCACGTCTTTCTATTCCAGACAAAAAGTTGTATGTAGATACAAATATATCGCACGATAATTCTTGTAATTTAGTCAAAATGACAATAACCCATCCCCATCACAATCTAAAAAACCATATTTAACAAGTCTTTAAGGTCTTCTGAGATAGTAAAAAACATACCAGATAATAGTGGCTCAACTCAAGCTCGAATTTTATTGGAAGGAAAAAAACGGCCGAGCAAATTAGTCCTTCATTTTTATAGAACAAAAATTTTAAAAGGAAATGCTAAAATATTGTCGATTTAGGATAAATGGATGATTTTAGGCGCTGAAGTTTTTGAAACTTTTGATGATTCATATTGCCTTTCCCTCAAATTATTCTGAGTGCGGTTGCATGAAAAATGCTACTTTGTCCAGTACAGACGAACTGATTACATAGAAAAATTCTATTGGCATGTTTCAAGATTTATTTTTGATCTAAAATGTTTTCAAAGCGTAGAAAAAGTTAATAAATTATTTCAATAGCAAATTTTCCTATTCCAGACAAAAAGATGATTTGCAAAGTCTCGGTTTCTCTGAGATTGATATGTCAAGCGGATATTTATGAGAGCTAATTTTTTTCTCTTCTTTTGAGTGAATTGCATTGATAACGCCTCGTTTATAAATCTGAAATGCCTATTCCATCTTATAATTCATTTGCTTTTTTGTTTTTGTCCAATTTTTTTTCCGAAAAACTTCGAATTTAAAGTCCGTTTTTAAAAAGTTGTTCTGTACCTTTAGAACGCGACATTAGAGATGATTAAGGCGCGTATAGGGTTGATTAGGTTGCTATATACTTCACTCTCTAACGCGTAAGCAGGAAGGTAATCTGGCTTGGAGTTGCTAACAATTAAAATCAAGCAGGCTATTATTGTTACTGACGTTACCATTAAAATACAGGAAATCTATCACTCTCTACTTTATATTTTCCATGGAAAGATGATTTATTAAACGTCTCATTTTTCTATAAAAAGTATCTCAATAAAACAAGTTTTATATAAAACAATTTCATAACTTTTTAAACTAAAAACTATTCAACGGACAGTGTGGAGCAGTCAAAACATGTCAAGTTTTGCTCTGTTGCGAGCAGTCTCGTTTCCATATATCTTTCAATAGCGTAGAGTTGCTTCCATATGTCTGGAACAAAAGCAACAGGGTGGAACCTGATCTAAACTACATTTTATGATTGGATAAATTAGATATTTTACCACTGTAAAGTATTTAATATTAACCAATCATGATCCATCTAACTAACAACCCACTTATTTGTAAGTGCTGAAATTACTTGTAATTTCAGCACCAGAGAGATTTGAATTTAACTTAGAAATTAGTTGCCTCTCCAAGAGAACTTCAGCAGCCGCAATAAACCAGTATACCCTAGATCTATTGAGCCTAGCAGAGACTAGTTAAACAACCTGAGACTAGATAGTATAAGAGTAAGATTAGGATCGGTATTAGACTAAGAAGTTGCACGAATCTATCCGGCCGAAAATAAGATAGCGTGACGAGCAGACGGTGTACCCTATCCGAAATTACTCTATGAGTTAAGACCATCGATTATAACTCATCTGGTGCGACCATAAGTCTCGAACAAGACCTTAATAGCTTAGAAATAACCAAAAATAGATTAGAATTTAGACAAAACATTTTTAAAATGTTACACGACGATAATTTAATCGAAATGTCTCTACGACCTAATAGATCAGAGCCAATATTCCGAACGATAATAGAACTACCCGGAATTGGAAGAAGACCGCGAACCAGAGACGACATACGACAAAGTAGAAAGTTACCAAATAGTTATATGATAGTACGGCAAAAGCCAACACAAACTTTTATATTTAGAATTTTAGTAGCAATGAATTTAGATTTTCATTTACAAACATAAAATCTTGAAGTCAATCTTCATAATCATTTCAGGCGCTAAACAAAACTATTAATATAAAATAACGATTGATAAAAAGATCTCAGATCGTTTTCCTAAAATTCTGCAGTATTATATAAAACATGTTTGGAAAATATTTATTGAAAATCAAAACAAAAATTAGTAGCATGACAATAAACTGTTAGTAATCATAAAATCATCAGTTGTCCCAGCTTCATCACCTAAAACATAACAGCAATCATAAGCTCACTAATATCATTAAAACACTAAATCTTTTTCTTAAACAAATTTAAACCATTTTAAACTTAAATTCACTTATTTTTAAAATCAGATCATCAAGGCTTATCCTTGGATCTTAATTAATTTTCTATTTAATTAAATGTAAAACTTGATCATCAAGGCCTATCCTTGGATCAAAAAGAACAATTTTGTTCTCCCCCACCCACTTAGCTAGTGTCTAACGACCTCAAACGTCGATTCACTATCCAACCCTTTCAAAAAACCCAAGACTAATAGAAATTTTTGAACAAAACTAATCATTCAAATTAGGATAAACAGTGAAAAACTTCGGTTATTCATCCTTCACTTGAACCCTCCTCTTATCAGACCCAGGATAAATCTTAGACTTAGTAAGTTTAAAATAGTATCTAACGAACTACTCGCGTTCTAATTATACCTGAACCTTGTGGATCGATTTACTATTCTCCAACCCTTGAACACAATCACTACCCCTAAATAAGATTAACTAAGTTAACACCTTAGCTTATACTAGCCACGAGAAAGTAAAAAATCATTCTTCGGAATCGATATACTTTTCTCTCCAACCCTGAACAAATAGACCCAGGTTAAGCTAACCAAAAAATCGT